AGGATCATATTGGCCAATTATTAATATCCAAAGCTGCACACACCAATCAAATTTCCAGGATAAACGCCACTTCCAAAAGACTGCTTGTCAAGCACCTAAAACCTTTATCAAATTATCTTAGAAAGAGCTGTGAATCTCGACTGATATTGTTTTTCATATCTGTTCTGAAAATAGCCGGAATTTCATAGTATAATAAGGGAAACGCGATCTGTCTGGCACCAATCACTAAGACCTTAAATATGAATTCAAAAGAATCAGCATCACTGGGATGCCTGACTCTTCTACACAGCCTCTTCCAAAGAATTTTCAGGTTCAGGTTCAGCTATTACTTAAGCAATGTATACAGATACTTTTCCATGTCACATATTCGGTTGTTGGGTTTATTTTGTCTGGGATTAAGGTTCACATGCAAATGAGCTTATTTTTCAGGAGTAGCAAACTGGACACAAATGGAAATAATCAGATATAAACCTAAAACGAAAATACGTATTTCCATTAAATTGAATCAATACTACACCTTTGAACAATCTGGTATTCAAGTCACGTGACTGTAAATTAGTAGGCTTAAGTCAGTCACTTTCACATTATGTGATTCTGTTATTCAAAGGTCTTATATTAAAACCAGTCGCCACAAACACTGTACAGCTGTCTCTGATCGAGTTCCAATCTCACATTTACAGATAAATAAAAAGTCCATCTAATCTTTCCGGAAATCAAAGATTCTTTGGTACACTCTTGCTCTCCCTTGCTGCGCGCTACAACATACTTCATAGCCAATTTATATGCTTCACCCATTCCGGATATTTTTCGCATACATATCCGTGAAAACGAGTCTGAAAACGAACTGTCTGGCAACAATACATACAGATCAGTCAAGGGAGAGGCACTGATAATCAAGACTTTGTGTAAGATGTTGTTTCGTTTCTTGAAGATGATTCTGTGTTGGTTTTCCGTACAAACCAGAGTAGCAAAACACACGTGCATAGTTAACGGACGTGTCCACCAGTGAATGATTATGTCTGAAAAACTGGCACAAATGAGCACCACGGCACACATGCAGATTTGTCCCGGTGTGTGCAGGCTGTGCACTTGTCATTTAAGTGGAACTGTATACAGCATTTTTAAGAAACGACACAATCACAAAAAAATTATGAATAGCATGTTTTTCAAGCAATCTACGTTTTTAATGAAAAACAACGTACGAATGTAATAACAGTATGCAGTTGAGGTTTTACCTAAATACGTAAGTGTCCGTAATGGTACAAAAATACTTGATTTCTAAAAGTCATAATGATTTTTTTGCTACCTGGAACTTTTACATGTGAGTTGTACTGTTGATTTAAATGATGATTAAGCGCAGTTTAATCAGGTTTATGGATGCGCGGACACCTCGAGATTTTTTGAGAAGATCCCTTATGTGGTTGTTTACGATTACGTCACACGCTGAACGCGTGAATAACTGGCGGTAATTGGTGGAATGTTCTTCCGTGTACATGTAAATAGCACGCAATAGTTTGGCGTCGCGTCATTCTCGATTCCACCTCTGACCGGAGAAAAGGCAAATGTTTTGCCCATGAAACTAAACCCACCACCACCCCAAACCCCACCTTTGTTTTCCCCCATTTCTTTTGGGTTCAGAAGCTCCGCTTTCTTTCACTTGTTTTGCGTGTTTTCCCCACACAAACACTGGTTCTATCTGTCTATTACCGCAATTATCTCAGCTTATTCCTCGAAATGTCATATGATTCTATCAAACAGTTTTATATTGTGTTCTGAATTGTTAACAAGGTTATATTTAAATATGTAATATTAATATTGTGATTTTTCTGGTACTTCAAAGGAAGTTTTTTAATTGTTGGTAAAGTAAAAGGAAATTATATTTATGTATCTACTTACATCCCAAACGTTTTGAATCTGAGTGGGAAGTAGTATTACTGGTTAATGTTTTATGGCAACTATACTTTACTTTGAAAAATGTAATATTGCCATGGAAACAATCTAAAGATTTCAATGAACAATTTCTTGCAATGTATTTATTAATTTACATAAAAATGCAAATACTAAATTAAATATAAAATATAAATAATATACAATGTGTTAAATTTTAAATAAAATATTAAGGACTCCTGAACCCAAATGGAGATTGGTTGTTTCAGTTGGATGTGTATTCATTTTGAGTTCGAGTAACGCAAGTCCATAAAAGAATAATATATGATAGACTAGAGGCTGTACAAACTGCTTATAGGGGAAGTTAATTGTAAATGAATGTGATTAGTCTAACGGGGTTCTGTCTTCTTCTTTTTCATCTTTTTACAGGGAAACGGAATAGTTTTCCAACTGTCTGGAAACTCTGGGAAAACTGCAGCTAAAAACAATTAATTCTTTCCTAGAACAAACAATATATTAATAACACAGATAAACAAAATATTGGTTATGTTAATGACGAATCGATTTCTACAGAATATTTGTCACACTTTTTTTTTTTAAACATTCCTGCCCTTTCAAAGCTAAACGAAACAATTTCACAGTATTAAGGCATACCTACATTGTACTGATAACCAGCAGTCTGAGCTGGACACCAAACCTCTAATGAATTGGAGCTAATGTTATTTAAGCATGTAAGTTTATGAGTCCCAAAGTGAGGCTCAGTATCAAAATAGTCAGGTTCCTCTGTTGAAGTGGCCAATACCACCGAAGCTTTTTGTTTGTACCCTTGTCCAATAGGAACTACATGTACATAAAGATGGCTGACCTGACCTCTATAAAGCGATGGCTGTCAGTACATACGGGAAATTGTTTTGTTCAAATGTGCTACCAAAACTGTAGAACTGACTCGTAATAATTAGTTACTGAAGAAATACCTAGAAATCCTTGCATTTTCAAATACAATTAGCAGAAAAAATAGAAACACTGAATCTTTTGATAAGTAAAAACTTTTGTTACATTACACTTTACAAAAGTTACCACTACGACTGGGCATTTTTTATTGTGATTTATTACAATTCGAATTATTATTATTTTTGATTAGCAAAGCAACAACAAAATGCTTTCGGCCATCTTGTGATTACACAGGCTAGCAAAATAAGGTGCTTATACACCACCTTACTGGAAGACAATAAAATAATTAGCGTATTCAATACTTTGTGTGTTTCTACTTATAGGTTATTACATTTGCAAAACAAATCTTCAATATAATAAGCGTCTCTGTGTCAGCAATTTTGGGTTCAGTGTCACATTGTGTGTCCAAAACACACACAGACAGAACAAAAGAATGCCAATCCTTTATTCGATGCGATTAATATGCACATGCTCATGCATATGCATGCGTATATATGCAAAATTTGAATAATTATGCCTTATTTAGAATTACATCTAGGCCATTTGGAACATAAATTACTAAGTTATGCATATAATTTGTTGTTAGTTCACCTAAATAAGTAACCCTCATTTTTGTTTGTTCAATTCTTCAGTTATCTAGAACCCATCCTAATTTTAACCATCTATCATTTCTTGTTTCTTTATCTACACCCATTCTTGATATATTTAGTTACAAAAATATGTTTGTTTGAAATAGAAAATAGCTGAGAAATTGTGCACATTGCCTGACCTTCGGGCATAATCTGTGTACAAACCATTTCAAATACACTAAACCAATCGGGCAAATATACATTCCACAAACCACACAACGTCTGGACCAAATGTCACGGAGCTGCTGAGCGGAAATTATTGCTTTGCAACTTGATGCACTAAGCAGAAATCTGCTGGGAACCAGTCTGAAGTAGTATACATTGCATGAGATTTGTGGCTGGTAACCTATTCCTGCTTAGAAATATTGTCTATGCTTAGCAACAGTTTGTGTTTAGCACTTCAGGTCTGAAGTATCGTGGAGTTGGAAATTGGCCAATACAAGTGATAACAGTTGCCAAGTTTAATGATTGCAGTTGATGTGACATTTCAAAGAGCTGCCGACATAATTAATACAAATTTGTTGGCTGCCTTTATTTTTATAGTACATTTGATCACATTATGCGATCGTGTGTGTATAATAGTTATTATCGGTATGCATCGAACATTCAATAAATTCCAATTACATCACCAACAAATGTAATTCATCATTATTATTTTTTTTCAAACCGCATATCACTGTAACACAAGAGAAGTATATTTTATACTTCTCTTGTGTTATTTTAAGTATTTATACAGCAATCATGTATATAATGTGTTAAGCCAAATAAGGCCAAAAAAAGTCTCCGGTTTCTGGTATGCGCGCGCGTCGCCGTAGCCATGCGCGTCGGCAAAATGAAAACGTTTTTTTTTTTTCAATGAAAGATGATGTCTCAAAGCCGCCACACTCACTGGTTTGACTGGAATCCTGCTGCTGCACAATTTTAACGTGTTTTTAGATGGGGTTATGATCGAGAATAAGCTTTATGTGGCCTCTCTGGTCTCCCATAATATTTGCACTAAGTTTAGTCGGGCACCATTTGCAGTCATCAGCCGACATTTGAAGCAAAAAAAAAACAGGTAAAAAAAAACAGCCGCGTTGCCGCACCACTTTTTGGGCAAGCTCCATGCCAGAAACCGGAGACTTTTTTTTTGGCCTAAGGCTATGTCTACCTAAGAAAGTAGAGCCGTGTGGACTACGTCACTGCAGGCATTATGCCGGTTAGTTTCCCCGTGTATTACGGGGAACCTCAACACTTTCAAGGCAATGCAGACCTGCACAATTTGCATTTGTCTTAATTTTATGAAATGGATTTATCAGGGTTACTGCACCATTAAGACGCCCAGTTTTTCTTCCAGGCCGCGGGAACCCTGTTTAAAAGGACTAGTAATTTACAGCAGCCTTTATTCATCTGACGTGTTAAATGTGGGTTTTTTTTAATTGGAACTGGATAAACATGACAAAAACCTTTTTTCCCCAACAGTCATAAGTGACTAAATCTGTGAGAGAGGTTGTAAAATCCTAATTTATGTAAAGAAGTATTGCAGTTGACAGGCTACGTACTTGTACACACCACCGTCTTTATTCTACTTTCTTCGTGTTCAGGTTCTTCTGCGAAGACGTAGTCTTTCAAGTAGGAATGCAGGAACTCCAATGTGGGTCTAGCAGCGGGATCCTTGTCCCAACACTTGAGCATGAGTTCGTACAGGGCGTCTGGGCAATTGGCCATCTTGGGCATGCGATAGCCTTGCAAAACCTGACGCTTAATTACCTCCTCGTTATTCATACCTTATTAGAGAGAGAATGAATGTGTGTCCACAGTAATTGGATAATTCTTTACATGTCACATACAACAGTCAGCGCTATGGGAAATTCCTACGTACGCTCAAATCAATGTTAGGTTCAAGGGCGGATCCAGGGGAGGGCAACGGGGGCCATGGCCCCCCAAAAAACGAAACCAATTTTTTTTTAAGTGAGGTCGCAATAAAGGCAGGCACTGCGTATACCACCATCCTTTCCTCCAAAAGAGTTGGTCAGATCAGGTGGTCAGAAATTGCCTCAGATCGCAGCACACGCCGTAATTTTTGGGACCAACTCTTTGGGGAACCAAATTTTTTGGCCCCCCCCCCCTAAAAAATCACTCGGATGGGATTCGAACCCACGACGTCCTGCTTTCTATAGTGCAGACGTCTCACCACTCGACCGCCGAACTTGCAGGATCGGTTGGCTGGTTTGAATCTGATGTACATGTAGCAGCGGGTATTAAGATGGAATTCGCGTTGGGGTATGTAAATCAATATTAGGTTTTGCCATTCGCCGACGTAGACATACTGACTCCATATCAGCAAGAAATGACGATTTTAAATATTAACAAGGGGCTTGAATCCTTCAAAAAGTCAATAATGTTAACCAATCGTAGCCGCACCACAGACATATAACCAAAATACAGATGTAAATCAGAAATACAAGTTTACCTAAATAAGGACACTGTCCATGTGTGACCAACTCTGTCAGCAAAATACCAAATGCCCAGACATCGGATTTGATGCTATGAGGGTTTTGAATGAGAACCTCGGGGGCTGTCCATCTGACTATGACCGGAATGCCTGCAAGTGACACAGAAACGCAAGTCACGCTCAACTTTTGAATAAGATCAATACAAGACACCAGATAATCAAACTGGACTGCTTATTGAAAACGGTATGCACAGTTGCTACAGAAATTTGCTTAGGGACTGTGGAAAAATAATGTTTTAGAAACTGCACCTTGGCTCTAAGTTAATTTTGTATTCGATGACCATAAAATCATTAAGTGCGGTTTGCCCCAAAGACAATTGACAGTTCGAAAGAGAGGGGTGTGTTATGAAAACCTACTTCTTTCTGTTAATCCCGAGCCATTTATCCTTGTCTCCGCAAAACAAGCCACCTTGACGATGTTGGCGTCTCCAACAAGTACATTTCTGGCAGCCAATCGACGATGCATGTAGTTCATGGACTCCATGTAGGCCATGCCAGATGCGATCTAGTTAAAAAGTGATGTTTATAAAAGGTAAAATAATGGGAAATGGCTAGAAGTAAAGCTCGATAAAAGGACAAGGGTAAAATGATTTTCATGCTTACCCGAGCTCCAATGTCAACAAGTTTGGGCAACTTCAGGTTTCGTCCTTCGCCATTTGTAAGGTAATTCAACAGACTGCCGTTGCACATCCACTCCATAACAATGTAGATTGGTTCCTGGATGAAGAACAAGAATTGCGGGATGAAACAAAATTCAAAAAAAACTTCTACACATATACATTTGGTAGGTGCATTGTATCCTAAAAATCTAAGCCCTCCCTACAGTAACCTTTGTAGTTGCACTTTCAAATAAGATTTTCAAAATATTGCTGAACAAGACCTTATGAAAAGAAGGAGGCGGTCACACCGGTGATGGGCTGAGATTGGGTTTATTTTAAATGGGTACTTGGCCTGGTCTGGTCCTAGTATAAGCCTGTGTGGTCTGTGTAGTATGTGAGGTCTGTGTAGTCTGTGGTCCTACAAGAGGAATAAACACAAAGGGAACTAATAAATACGTGCACATGCCTAGGAAATCCTAATCATATCATAAACATTAACAACATAAACGTATGTCACTATTATCAGCCCAGCAATATACACAACATGTTTACATAAACCCAAATATATGGAGGTAAGGGCCAAAACACTTATTAATTAACACTGGATTTACAAAAGGGTCCCTAAATATCCCCAGCGAAGAATTAACCCCATGCAAATGTGTGTAGGTATGACATGGCATGTGATTCCAATATAAATCAGTACAATGAACATTACAACCCAAATCTAACAATAAACATGATAAACGTGAAGTGAAATCCCTCCAAATATCGTATCAAGATTAACCAAATTATACTCACTTTCAGTAATTCACGCACAGGGGGTATTTATAATTAACCTGGTGATTGGATTATAAAGGCAAATGATGATTTGGAGTCATTAACAAGGATTTTACGGACTAAGAATTATCTGGAAACAACGTGATTCGACAAGGATTTGGCAATTATAACAGTCAGTCACAAGAGGGCGCTGTTGTGCACTCCAGTGGCGAAGACGCTTTCGCACAGCCGCCCCTAAATTTGGGCACTAAATTTATGGAATAGAAAGCATCGCAGCCACTACAGTTCTCACTCAGAGTCCATTAGGGCTGGATCTTTGTCGTTTTCCTGGTCATCCTTGACACCTTCGTCGGTGACTTCTGGGAGTCGTATCAGGCGGGCGACAGGGCGAGTGTAGTTCTTCTTCCTCACTCTCACGCTGGCAGTGCGCACACGACCATCTGGTCCAGGAAAGGTGTCGACGACTCGTCCGATGGGCCACTGAGCCCGGCTAAGTGCAGGATCAACGATCATGACAACATCATCAGGCTTCATCTCTGCACCGTCTCGTTGCCACTTCTGTCGTATCTGCAGAGAGGGTAGGTACAGCCCGATGAAGCGCGACCAAAAGTGATCTGCTAACACCTGGCTGTGTTTCCAGTGTCGTCGGCTGAGTAGGTCCCTTGCTGGGTAGACAACTTGTGGCAGCGCTGCATCATGTTGTCCCATCAAGAGGAGGTTCGGGGTAACTGGATCTAGGTCGGCGATGTCTGAAGAAACATAACCCAGCGGTTTGGAATTAAGAATACCCTCAATTTCTATCAGAACGGTGCGCAGGACTGGTTCGGGTACAGCCTGACTGAGGACGACTCTCAGGCCAGCTTTGACAGACTTTATCTCCCTCTCCCACACGCCACCAAAGTGTGGGGCCTTCGGTGGGTTGAAGACAAACTTGACTTGTTGTTTGGAGAGCTCTTCTTTCAGTCTGGGTTCCATGGCAGAGAATGTCTCATGTAACTCTGAAGCTCCGCCCTTAAAGTTGGTACCACAGTCGGACAGTATCTCGAAGGGCTTCCCTCTTCTGGACACAAACCGTCTAAAGGCCATCAGGTAGGCCTCAGCACTGAGACTTTCTAGCAGGTCAAGGTGCACCGCTCTGGTAGTCATACATTTAAAGATAATGCCCCAGCGCTTTTCGGTGCGTCTCCCTGTCTTGATTGTCATTGGCCCAAAACAGTCAACGCCGATGGAAAAGAATGGCGGCTTGTACAGTCGCAGGCGTGCTGGTGGCAAATCTCCCATCTTTGGTACGTCAGGATTGGCTCGCCATCGTTGACATCCGAAGCATTTGCGCTGATGCTTGCGAATGGCCTCTCGTCCTCGCAGAACCCAAAACTTACGTTGCATCTCTGCAAGCACACGCTCAGGCCCGTAGTGAAGTAGTTTCTCATCATATTCTCGGATCAGAAGTTTGGTAATAGGATGTGCTGGATCCATGACGATGGGATGATGGAAATCTTTGGGGATGTCTTCCGCATGCCGTAGACGCCCACCAACATGGATGAGACCAGTGAAATCATCATACTCTGGAGCTAACTGGAGGAGCTTGCTATCTCGAGGAAGATCCCTTCCAGCCTTAAGAGCAGCTAAGTCATCAGAAAAACTTCCTTGCTGAGCACGGCGGTACAGTAGCAGCTCGATGTTGGCTCGATCTTCAGCACCCAACTCAGGTGGGTCACCAGTGTCGGCCGCCCCATCACGATGCTCTTTGGTAGCCATGATGAGGTTCTTCCACGTGTCACATTTGGAAAGGTCGGGAGGATCTTCAGGATCCACAGTCACAGCACCACAGAAGGTTGACTTCTTGTACTCAGAAACATCTTCTGGTGGTGTGGCCGGGTGGACAGGCCACTGGTCAGGAGGTGACAAGAGGAATGGGGGTCCATCTCGCCATCTGGACTCTTGGGCAAGCTCCATCAGGGTCTTGCCTCTGGTGAGGTCATCAGCCGGATTACTCTTGGTATTGACGTAGCGCCACTGTTTGACATCAGTGAGGGTCTGGATCTCCGCGACTCGAGTGCCGACGAAGACCTTATAGCGACAGGATTCAGACTTCAGCCAGGTGAGGACAGTTGTCGAGTCGCTCCAAAGGACAACATACTTTACAGGTAAACTCAACTCTCTCTTGAGTAGCTGGCACAGCTGAGCACCAGCCAAGGCAGCTGATAGCTCCAAGCGTGGCATGGATAGCTGTCGTTTGGGGGCAACCCGGGACCTGGCCATGACGAAGCTGACATGGACATGATGGATATCCTCTGCTCGAAGGTAGGCTACAGCACCATAAGCTCTCTCTGATGCATCGCAGAAGATGTGGAGTTGGTAGCTTGGTGGCTTAACATCTACCGCTAGGGGTGTGTAGCATCTATAGCCGATGGGATCATACTGGCTTGCCAATATTTTGTACATGTTCCTCATGTTAAGGGACTCGTAGTCGACTGTTCGATGGCGGTACTGCAGGTTGTCTGTGCTGCAATCCCACTGCAGCCCAAGGGTGGCCTCAAGGGAGTCAGTGTCACCGTAGGTGAACCAAAGTTCACAGCCATTGGACCGAGCATCTGGTGGGAGATCCTCAACTACCGTAGGTTCGTTACTGGCCCACTGACATATCTCGAACCCGGCATCGGCCAGTAGGTTTCGCATCTGATGGACCAGGTGCTTGGCTTCTCTGGATGAGGGTAAGCTGTCCAAGCAGTTGTCGACGTAGAAGGACTTGTCGACTGATTCTGCTACTTCAGGATACTCCTCCTTGTGGTCGCTGGCATGCTTCCTGAGTGCGAAGGTCGCACAGCACGGACTACATGTGGAGCCGAAAGGGAGGACCTGCCATTCGTGTATCTGTGGTTCTGCTTCCACCTTCAGGTTTCGCCACAGAAAGCGAAAGAGGGGCCTATCTTCTGGTAGAAGTCGCACCGGGTGGAACATCGCTTTGATGTCTCCGGAGATGGCTATGGCGTGCTGCCGGAAAAGTAGAAGCACGCCGATGAGGGAAGCACCCAGTTGTGGTCCGGGAAGGAGATGCTCGTTGAGCACTTGGTTATTGTACTGAAAAGAACAATTGAAGACCAGTCGGTACTTGCCATTGTGATGAACAGTGTAGTGAGGAATGAACCAAGATTCATCAGACATTGCGGCTTCATCATCGGGTAGAACTCGCACATGACCTGAGTCGACCAGCTTTGTGATAAGCTCGTTGTGCTTTTTCGCCAGTTGTGGGTGCTTCTGTAGCCGCTTCTCTGCTCTCCTTAGTGTAGGAAGAACTGCATCTTTCGTTACCTGGAATCTGTCTCCATCCTTGGTTCTCAGGAGGGGCGTGGCATAACGTTGCACACCATCAAGGCTGACACGGGTGGTTTTAGACCCCAGCATCTTAAGAGCATACTGGTCTTGTTTGGATCGGGTGACTTCCTTATCATTGGCGTAAGGGAGCACATCTGCCTGCCATAACATCTGCACATGCTGCAGGAGGTCATTTGTAACCGGGAATGTGGATGTCTTGAAGACTCGTTGCTCCAGCTGTAGATCATGATTCCCAGTGGGTCCTTGGAGGGTCCAGCCAAGCCTTGTGTAGATAGCAACTGCTGCACCACGGGGTCCAGATCTTATTGGACATTGGATGATAAGATCTGTTTGGTCAGCTCCAAGGAGTAACATCGGCGATGCCTGGTTAATCACTGGTAGCGGCAGGTGACGGAGATGGTTATACCGCTGCTGGAGAGCCTTTACTGGATATGTGTACACCGAGAGACACAGATTGCTGGCAGAGAAGGCTCCATTGATGGTGTACTTGATGTGGGGCTTTCCCTTGGGTGACACCTGCAGAGACATAGCCGAACCTTGGCATTCGACTATGTCATCACGGACAGTTCTAAGGAGGACCGTCTCTGGCTGGCCTTTAAGCTGTAACTTCTCGGCTGCTGTCTGGATTAGCATACTTCTCTCAGAACCGTCGTCCAGGATAGCATATGTCTCAATGGTGCCAGCGGGGCCATGAAGGAGAACTGGCACAACCTTTAACATTACACCATGCGGACGGATTGGCCTGTCAACATAGACATTCAGACTTGATGTCTGCACTCTGAAGACATGACTGGTAGTCTTGTGAGCGGCATCATGAAGTACAGTTAAGTGTACTTGTTTGCAGGTGTGACATGGCTTCTTGAGGGTACACTCATCGGGCTTATGGGCACGACCGCACTTCCAACATCGTCCCTTGTCCTGGATCCAACTGACGATCTGATCAGTGTTCAGCTTCTTGAGTTGTGGACATCCACCCAGGTAGTGTTCCTTATTATCACAAAAGGGACAATAAGGCTGGGGTTTGTACTTCGGCTTTGGTACTGTCATGAGTACTGCTGTTGGGGTATCCTTCCTGGATATTCGCTGCTCCTGGTATCGCTGCGGTCTTGGGTTACTCAAAGTATGCCCGGACACTGCTCTACTGGCAAAGCTGTGTGACTGAGATTTCCTACGGAGCCAACTTGCAAACTGGGGTAGGGTGTAGGTTTGACTACAGTTTGACTTCAAGATGCCCTCCTTCAGGCAGTGCTCCGTGAAACTCGTCCTGTGGCTGGGGGCAACCTTGCTGAGAAGACGGTCGACGTGCGAGCCACAACGGAGTTCAATGCCGTCAGGACCTTCCAGGGATTGTAGCATCCCCACAAGGGAGAGGACATCCAGGGAGAACTCCTCAAATGCTTCAGTATCACCATACTTGATGGCAGGGGTGGCCAATATGGCTGCGATCTCGCACTGGACGAGCTGTCGGGGTTGGCCGTACTTGTCGGTAAGAGCAGCTAGGGCCTCAGTGTAGGGCTGACGAGTGTACATGAAGGACTTGGCAAGTTTCAATGCTCTACCACCAAGTCGGTCGAGCATCACCTGGAACTTGTATTGTTCTGTGAGGTGTGGATGGACGTTGATAAGGTTGTCCAAGGCCATGCGGAGTAAGGCAAATTCCTTCTCTCTTCCATCGGAGAATCTTGGCAGAGCCGGCTTGGGACGAAGCTACAAGGAGGTCAATGGCTGTTGCACCGGGTACCATCGGAGGGGAACCGGTGGGAACAGGTTGAGCTTGATGTGCTGAGTGTGGTGACATGTGACTGGTTGTCATGGGTGCATGTCCATCAACACACAATGGTGTGGGGTGGCCACTGACTAGTGTTGTCATCGAAGGAATCTGTGACACTGCAAAGGTTGTAAGACTTGGGATGGCTCGAAGAGATGTATCTGGTACGGTACGGTTCTCTACGGGAGATGTAGAGGGCACAGGTTGTGCAGAAGTACACACGGGGATTGTACCCTGGCTTGTCGTAGTAATGGTGACATCTGTCAGCGTTGTATCATCACTGATCGTGGCGCTGATGGCTTCAGCTTCGACTAGCTCCTGTTGAGCCTGACGCAATCTGCGTTGACGTGACAAATTTGTAGATATGGCTTCACGCTCTCTCAAAGCCTGACGCTCTATTTCTTCAGCCTTGAGTCGAGGTTGTCGAGCTTGGTCATCAATACGATGGAGTGCTTGGTCTGCAGCCTCTTCTTCCTCTAACTGGTGCTGCAACTCCTCAACTCGAATCTTCTTTCGAAGGGTCCGCATCTTTCCTGCGTATTTGTCACTCAGACCAGATAGGTGGGAAGCGACGGAACTATTAGACCGGTTGCTGCGATGGGAGGAGTGTTCGCTGTTGGCCATAGCCACATCACCTGTATGGCCATTGGTCGGTTGACCGAGAACGTCATCTTGTGGTTGAGACATTCTGGAGGTTGAAATGGTGATCCAAGGGTCGCTGGTTGTAGGATCCCGGGTTTCGGCACCATGAAAAGAAGGAGGCGGTCACACCGGTGATGGGCTGAGATTGGGTTTATTTTAAATGGGTACTTGGCCTGGTCTGGTCCTAGTATAAGCCTATGTGGTCTGTGTAGTATGTGAGGTCTGTGTAGTCTGTGGTCCTACAAGAGGGATAAACACAAAGGGAACTAATAAATACGTGCACATGCCTAGGAAATCCTAATCATATCATAAACATTAACAACATAAACGTATGTCACTATAATCAGCCCAGCAATATACACAACATGTTTACATAAACCCAAATATATGGAGGTAAGGGCCAAAACACTTATAAATTAACACTGGATTTACAAAAGGGTCCCTAAATATCCCCAGCGAAGAATTAACCCCATGCAAATGTGTGTAGGTATGACATGGCATGTGATTCCAATATAAATCAGTACAATGAACATTACAACCCAAATCTAACAATAAACATGATAAACGTGAAGTGAAATCCCTCCAAATATCGTATCAAGATTAACCAAATTATACTCACTTTCAGTAATTCACGCACAGGGGGTATTTATAATTAACCTGGTGATTGGATTATAAAGGCAAATGATGATTTGGAGTCATTAACAAGGATTTTACGGACTACGAATTATCTGGAAACAACGTGATTCGACAAGGATTTGGCAATTATAACAGTCAGTCACAAGAGGGCGCTGTTGTGCACTCCAGTGGCGAAGACGCTTTCGCACACCTTATCTTCCTTCAAAGGACCTGATCCATACCTTAAGTGAACAAATACCACACAGTTGACAGAGGTTTGGATGGTGCAGCTTCTTCATGTTATTAGCTTCTGCCAGTAAGGCGGATAGACTAGTCCCCATCTTGGGGGTCTTAATGGCCACTGGGGTCTTTCCTTCCAAAACACCTTAAAAATGTAAGACAGAGAAAGTCTGTAATCAGAAAAAAAGTATAATAGTCAGTGCACCCTGCTGACTCATCAAACTCCCCGATTCAATTACTTTACAGGTAAATTCACATATTGTAATTACTTTAACAAGGCTGTTAAAGAATGAGTTAATTTACATTCTTCTTGTCCGCAATTGATTTTAACATTTTTCTCGAATAGCTAAACGTTTCAGCATAAGCAATCATTTTCTCAAAAGCAAACTCCTTAGGAAAATGGCACCAGGAACAAAAATTCGCACCTTTCCAAACGTCTGCATACAGACCGACTGCAATTTTTTTTTCCAGCGTTAAGCACTCCTTGGGGATTTCCCAATCATCGTCGCCCAAGTCCACAGTCTTCGGAGTCTCTCTAGGGCAGGGGTAGGTTAGTTTGGTGCACAGTCCGTCAGCTTTACCTGCAAAGAGAAAATCACGTGTGAAATTTAAAATATTTCTGAACGGTTTAGCTGTTGAATTATATGCTAAATCGCTCCTTGACAAACGTTTTCGTTGATTTCAAATGCATAGGATCTGAAATATATATACTGATGTTACCCTGAAATGATACTTCAGGCTAAAGGGTTGCTGATAGGCTTAATGCCATGAACTTGCACAACAAGGAATCACCAAAGAAAAGACATTTTATGACGGCAACAAGCCGAAATTGTAGCAACTTTTTGCGCTGCAATAGCTGTAAGATTGAGGTTACTGTCCAGGATGACATCACAGTTTTGCTCATGAATATGGACATTGGCATTAGCATAAAACCCTAAAAGGCACCAAAGTACCCTGAAAATTGCTAAATGAAATTTTAAAAGAAGTTAAGTAGGACACAAATGTGCATTTTTAAGGATAGCATTAAACAATTACATTGCATGGGCGCTTTCAATTTACTTCACGACTAGAATTAATCTTCAATTAAGTTACTTTCATTTTTCTACACAAGTTCCACAAATCAAACTTTTACCTCACTTTCAATCCAAAATGGCCGACTCGTGAATAAACAGTGCGTTCGATTACTCCCCCCAGCCTCGCGCCTGGCTCCTCGCGCAATGACAGACATGCGCAGTGGAGCAAAATAAACGAACGGTTTCGGGTAAAGTTTCGTGCAAGGGCTGGAAACTTGGGCGTCGCCAGAATTTTTTTCTAGAGGGGGGCAAAACATGTTTTCCAAAAAAATCCTGTTTCTAAACGTATTCTCGATTTATCAGTTTTAAAGTGGGGGGGGGGGGGTAGGGACATTTTGCCCCCCCCCCCCATTAAATTTACACAAATATGACTTCTCGCCTCTTTTCTTTTTGTTCTCCCTTTTTTTCTTCCTTTTTTGCTTTTCCGGGGGGGGGGATGTTGCCACTGACGCCACTTTTTCTTCATATATCATCTCAATAAAGGTCATGCATTGCAAAAATGACGATAAGACATGAATCTGGGACTGAGAAATATTTCCAATTTTGTTAGGAATTTTTTTGTCTTGACTCTCCATAGACTTTGTACACAATTGCGCAAGTGGCGTCAGGTTGCAACATTTTTCCCAGGCTGCATCCGAGAGCACGTCCACGGCCTCCACGCCCATCTAATACGCGGGGACGCGCTGACAATAACTCGTAGCCGTAGCTCCGTGCATAGAGCTACCTCGGGTTTGTAGCTATATACTCCGTGGAAGCCGTTTCGGACACGGTCTGATGAGGCGCCCACCGGACATTGCATGGCCTTGTGGGATACTTACCCAAGTGACCGGCTCGGCGAATCGGTCACTTGGGGCAGGCTCGAGTATAAGCACGATAAGTCACGTGAGAGGTAAATCGAACGCTGTCGCGCTTGCACGAGTAAGCGCGGGGGAAGTAATCAAACGCACTGAAGACCCATAAACAACCTCCTCCCCGGTGTTTTCTTTATTTCCAACCTCGTTTGCAATAGTAAGCCCTGGATAGCAAATTTTCTTCCTGTATCCTGATTCGATATCGTAATGGATTTATACTGTGTACTTGGTGTTGTGCATTACGTGTTTTCACGTTCATTGTAATTATTACGACCACACCTTCTTAAAAATAATCATTTCTTTTCCAATGTGTTCATGTTAATATAAAATGTGATACTGCATATAGTCTGGATAAGATTGTTACAAAAAAATGGTGTTTTCGTAACTCGCACCAAAAAATTGCACATACAAATGATCCATTACCAGGGTGAGAGAGTAGGTAGTGATGGGCGTGTACTGCTTGACACCCTGCGAACGAGGTTGGCTCATATACGCCTGCGATCGTTCCAAATGACCCGTGACCCATATCATTGTGCACATGCGCAGTTGAAATACCGAACTGGCTGTTCAGTTCAAAGACTTTACAAAAGAGAGCTCCATCATGACCCCATACAGTGCCATTTCAACTATGTCGTTTTTAACTCGAAACTTGCGTACGTTGGTGATGCTTGATAAGCTCAGCGATTGCAGGAAACGAGGCGCCTCCGTCTATGTCATATGATCCAGTCTCATCATCGCCACGCTTTTGGATCCTGTAGTGTTTCACTTTGTTGCCTCTATCGGAGTCGTAGTCAAGAATCGATATTGAGAAAGCACCTGTGAAGGAAAATACTTCAAAGATTATCATTTTAAAAAAAGGAATGAAACCCTGCACGTGAAAAAGAATTCAGATGAACAACAAGCAACTTTTGGTTTCGACCGTATTGGCTCATAGGTTTAGCATGGCAAAACATGTATGGTATATAGCTACTTCATACTTTACTGTTACAGCATGACTGGAGATATGGAACCCATACAAGGAGGTTCCTGTAAGGTACATCATAAAACGTTATACGATGGCTGGCTTAAAGTGAACATGCATGAGAGTACAATTTACTACTATTATACAATGTATAGTGTCCCGCTTTGGAGGTCGAAGGCAATATCACAAACTTGTTTCATGCACAGAACAAGGACAATCAACTTGTCTTTATACCTGGGTTGCTCTCACTATCCCTGACAATGAACATTCCTTGATGGACATCAGGCTGTAGCAGTTTATTCTCAGCTTCGATGCGACTTATATGGCCAAAGTACCACCTGGTTAGAATTGGGGAGAATCTCTGAGTCAAATGCAAAGGTTTATAACTAAAAAAAATGTAGACAAAAATAACTTGTCATTTGATCAGAATAATGGAACTCAAAAAATCTTATGGATTGATGAATTCTTTGGCCATATGGGGGACAGCATGTCCCCTGTCCATGCGTTTAAAAATTTCTTATAGCGGATTGAACAAAAATATTATTATATGACCTAATTTATAGTTAATTTCCGAAATGATTTTTCCCCTTGTTTTGAAGCTAGCAAATAAAACACGATTGCAATTTGCTTGATTTTGATTTTCTGGTTGTGCCTTGTCATTGAACGACTTTTCCCCTCCGTGATAAAAAAAAATGATAAAAATGAAACAAATCTCGACTCCATGCAGGAAATACTCTTTTTGACCTTTATATTCCATTCTTGGTATCTTATAAACTAAAATGAAGTTGCTTTTCCAACTGTTGTTTGTTACAATCTAACCAATGAGAAATGAAAGTGGCTTACTTTTCTGTATCAATATCTCTTGCACGTCTGATGTAGCTGGAAGGGACATAGCCTTCTTGACCAGTCTTAGTTGACCTTGCAAACCACCAGCCAGTACCCCTTAAACAACACCACAACACCAACCAAAGGAATTACACATTTCTTTGGCGACTAAATTAAAGATGCATTCTCCCTCATTTTCTGATTTAACCTCGGAATATTGATTTTATTCAATGCTGTTTTCCTAGCAATATAAAATTTATTCATTTTTGAATGAAACGTGGAACGAAAAATTAACCGACATTTAGTTATATTTTCTTCACAAACTGTGAATTATTAGCTGTCAGACAATAGTTCGGCTCCCTCAGGTCGGGTCCACTTTGTGCGCGAAATGAAAGCCCCATGTATCAAACGCGGACAACAACCGTATATAGTTGTTATAGATGCCTACGAAGGAGATCTAGCTGTTGCTGACACTCTTACGCCATACTTTTTCACGCACATGTTCTCTTGTTCTTACGGCATCATCTAGCCCCGGGAGCACAGGACAAATGCATTACCAGGAGGGGGTAGACGACGTTCAAAACAGAACAAGAAATGAAGGACTGCCTTCAGCAGTTATATTAAAACCCTAACCTTGGGCCAACAACACTCTAGATCATGAAGCTATATGGGTCTTCCACAACGCCTGAATAAATCCCGTTATCTGATTGGTGGGTCGTTGGTATCACGCGCATTGAATTATTTGTCCCAACGCGCGGCGTAGTCCGAGTATGACCTGTTGTCCAACGGAACCCTCTTTGTCTCTGGTCCAACGTCTGATATTATGTATAAGCATACAAATTATGCCACCCTGCGGACATGCAGACCAGCCAGAGTCGACATGACGTTATTTCATTCTGAAATCTGGACTAAGCTGGTGATTGGTCAATTTTGATGCCAAAGTATGTGTAATACAACGATGGGCATATAGATATAATAAAACCCGACATTTTCTTTCAAAACGGGTTACCGAAGACCCGATGTAGAAAGCGCCTGCTGAATGGTCAGAATCTTGAGGTTAGGACGCAGTCTAGTTGCATAATTAATCGATGAATCTGCTCACATATCCCGACCCTTGGCTGCTGCTCCACAGACCACGCAAGGCGCGGCCGCACAGCAAAAATAGAAGTTCCATTCAACGGTAAGTGGAAGTTCCATTGCACGGTCAAACCTTTGGCGGCTCTGACCACTCAGATGACAATGATTTATTCGGGTGATGTATGCAACAACATAATGAATGCTTTAGATTCGTGAAATAGTAAGAATAATTTCATGAGGTGAATTGCACTCACAAAAATTCATTAGGGCCTATAGCCCGGCAAGTTCCACGAGGCTATGGGTTTTGATAGAGGCGGAGATGCCCCTCGTCAGTACCTTAAAACTGAATTTGTACTTACGTGTTATTTCTAATAACATCTAGCGTTTCTCCTTCCTGAAAGCTCAACTCATCTTTTGCTTGTGCCGCATAATCGTAAAGTGCAATGTGTTTCAGTACCGGTACTGCAATTGCAAAATATCAAAAGCCTAATAAGAATTAGGGAGACAAGTATTTTAAAACTGAGAAAAATGGAAGGAATCTACATACTACTACAGAACTACATCAGATGTGTGAAAATGATACATACACATGTATTTACATTCTGCATCTTAACAAACTATCTTTCTAATAACATCTCAAGAACATGGGCGTAGCATGGTGGCCAATCACCAACGCACAAAATGTGGTTTCTTACACGTCCGCAAAAGGCGAACACTTTTCGGATGAAATCGCAACTAGCACCCACAGCTCGACTTTTTGGGGTCGCAAAAGTGGATCCCGAAATTCGTTCTCGCACGCATAAAACAGGAAAACCACAAAAACGCCCAGTTTTTAAAGGATAGTTGTGTGGATGTTTATATCCTACTTTTAAATGTTCTTTCCGATTAACATCGTTTTGTTCAAAGCGCGTTTTGTAGCCCAGTTGGGCTGTTTTAGGACCGCAGTATCCCTTTAATCATCTTTCGTTTATCCATATCCTATCGCTTATTTCTTTTGAAGTTTGATTTACGTTTCTTCGTAACAATTTGTGAACTTGGGGGACCGGGAAAAACATCGAAAGAAAATTTAAAATTATCTCAAACAAATACGTTTGTTTTTGCGTCATCCGAGACAATGATCCCTACTCAGACCCAAGAATGCTGTTAGAGCTAAACGCGTTTTAAAATAAGGGAAGGTAACGCTAGATATTTTCCACTCTACTTGTTTTTACTCTTTCATCATTCATGTAGTCACGTAGGACCTCAAAGGTGTAGGCCTATGTAGCCGCGTGTGTGTTGCGATCTCTGGGGTTGAATACAAGTATTCTTGTCTAATTTCACAACCTCAGTCAAACAAACAGAATGTTCATTCAAATGCGCCAAAGAAATTGGCAAGCGTTTTCACACTCGGTTCAATTTAGCGAAAGTTCGAAATATTATCTTTATTCATCAACTGTCAAAAGTAGGCAGCAAGTTACGTGACTTGTGCATTTAATTTCGTGAACTTTGGATTTCTATCCCTCTCGGGAATTCAATTTGTTGTTTACGTTAACAAAAGTAACACCCCTCATGAAATAATTGGGGAGCTGTATAGCAATAGTGTTAAAGCAGAGACTTTGTCACTCATTGCTTCTCCCCACCCAGGAGTAAATTGGGTAGAGATGGTTATTGTAGTTCATTTTGCTGCTTTGCGCCGAAATGGCAACATTGAGCTGTATACTCCTCAGGGAGCTGAGATGGTATTTGGAATGTTTCATGGGCCCAATAAACAGGGTAATAATGATGTAACGCCTTGAGCTAATAGTGGATACGTGCCCTTTATAGATTAATACCCACTTTTATTATTATTAAAATGACTTAAATATTGAGAAAGCCTTATAGGAATGTACAGCTATTCCGAAGAAAAATATAAGCGCATACATGAAATAGAAATATTAAAAATGCATAACAGAACTTTAAAAATGTAAAGTTTTAAAGTGACAGAAGGAATGTTGCATAGACTTGCGTACAAAGACAGATTTTGCTCTGCAGACCAAGGTGACTGATTTGTAAATGGTGTAATCAATTAGTGGCATGGAGCCCCAAAAGTGGATAACACATTTTTTTTGCTGAGAGAAGAATTTTAGGTGTTTTTTTTTGTTTGTTTTGAAGTCGTGCAACCGTTTTCTTTTATATCAGTTTGTGAAATAGGCCTAGCGAAGAATCAGAAGAAAGTAGGAACTGTATTCTTGCTCAAAGAGGGGCACATCTACTCACCCTTCCCAACTTGTTCCAACGACCCGCTTTGAGAAATTTGGGAGTCCTGCTGGGGGAAGCTTTCGGAAATTGTACAAGTTGTCCATTCTCCTGAAACTAGCACTGTCGTGCATAAAAACATATCCATGTAATGAAAAAAAATACAAATACAAACACTGAAGAAGTTTGCACGTCTGAAGAATATTACGACAAAAAAGAAAGCAATATGGCCCGACTGCACTGTACGTCTAAATCCTGGAAGCAAGGAAATGAAATTCGACATGGATCCACTTTAAGCTGAACAGGACTAGGGTATACTGAATCGTCTCAGGACAGACGGGGGGGGGGGCACATTGCGACAGCCGATTTTTCAAAACAACTGTGATGACCACAAGAGGGCGCTTTACTATTTTTGCGAAGTTTGGGTCAGAAACTGTATTTTTTGCATAATTTTTACATGTTCCTTTTTCAAACGTGTTCAGATTTAGTACAAAATAAACGTTCTTTTGGATCAAAATCAAACAAACTAAATAACCATGGGCTTCATACATTACCGTCAGAGGACGCTATACCAACAATAGTATACGGGGCAAAACAGATTTTTTTTCATGATTTTCTCGCAAGTTGGAATTCCTTCAGACAAATCGACAATAATGAAGTACTATTTGGTAATGTTGTAAACGCCTTACCTTTCTTATAATGTAAGAAGTGTCAAGAATGACCCCTGAAACAAATGTGCAGAAAAGGTGAAATTGAAGAGCTACTTTTCGTGCCAACAGGCATTGGTCACGAAAAGTAGCTTATCATGAACTTTAGTCCAAAATTTATATTTGATAGGTTCGGGCGACAATGCAAATGTCCATGTGTTCACACAAAATGACGAATTTCAAATTACTAGTGTAATGATGAATTTAAGATTATACGTGTTTAATCGCCATTGTACGAATACCATATTGTAACTATTGAGATTCTACAGAATTTGTTACGGTCACCAAATTTCAGTGCCACAGTCAAAGCGTTACAAAATTATTCATAGGGCTGGGGCACTACATATGTATTTTGGTTAATTGTACCCACCACACTGTTTCTGTTTTGAAGGTTTTCCTCATTTTGAACAAATGAGCTGACTCCTTTCGGTTCCGTTGAGGCTTTTCGTTATAGTCTCATTAAAAAAAATGTATTAAAGCATTTGTTTATACCAAAATCAGTGCAAAATGCCGCTATCCTACCTGGTTCAGGGCGGCTCAAAATCTCATCCATACTGGGCCGCTTTGTGTGGTCATGATCCCAGCATTCCGTAAGCAGGTCACGCAGGGGCTCGGAGCATTCTGTGGGGATTTCCGGGCGTCTTCGTTCGATTACGACGGCTTTGAGCATATCCAGTGGATATTTCCCAGGAAATGGTTCCTTGCCAGTGAGAAGCTCCCAAACAACAACAGCGAAAGAGAAAACATCGGACTTGGGTGTCACTTTAGGTTTTGCATTTGTTTCAGGATTGCCAATGGCCTCTGGTGCCATCCAAGCCCATGATCCCCTGTGACTATTTGTACTGACTGTGACCTCCCAGTGCCTGGCGGTGCCGAAGTCACAGATCTTCAGCGAGTCGTCTAATGTAATGACCATATTCGGTGATTTCACATCCCCGTGCTGGTATTTCTGTTCGTGGATGTATTGCAAACCCCGTGCCATTTCAATGGCCCATTTTACCCGGCATTGCTTTTTGAAATCTGACCAATCATCAGGATGTTGCTTTATGAGATCATACAAAGATCCTTTTTCAGCATACTCAGTCACAATAGCATATCCGCCCAAAGGCAGAGGTGTAACTCCTAAAAACTCAATGATGTTTGGGTGGCGTAACTGATGCAATATCAAGGCTTCTTCCCTCTTGAATCTGGCACAGTTCTTCACAGCTACAGTTCTTGGACAAGACGGAGATGAATACGTTGCCTTCCATACCGTATTTCGACTCCCAGGGGAACTTATTTCTGATTGCCTTTTGATTTTGTCCAGACTGATCTCGATCAAGTCCTTTTCCTGCCATCACAAATTTAAGAGTCAAAGTTTCACATTTATATTATTATCTCACCACGCCATCTTTATTCCCACTGAAACTCAATTCGACAAATAGCTCCAAGACTTGGAAATAAAACAAAAACACGATGAAAGATATATTTGTATATATATACGCCCTATAATAATGTCCAGTTTAGTCATGAAAAAATAACGTTTTTTTTCGTAAGGTATAAACATTGAGATTTCTAGGACTAATTCCCATCATGAAAAGGCGTTTATGCAAGACTCCCGTTTAGCCTTAATTATAGGGCTGGACCCTTATAAATGCAAAACCAAACAAAAACCAAAGAATTTAAGTTGCAACTATGTATTGCAATTTGAAGCAAGTGAGTTACAATTGTCAGTCAGTGAGTCAGTCAGTAATCGATTATTATATATGCATGTCCCTATAGATGAAATCACCGGAAAAGGGCAGTTACTCCACCCAGGTCCTTAAGGTTCATAAAACATAATCAACATAAATTGACCTGCACGTGTATAGTCATTGGGGCATGGGCTGCGGACAATCAGCCATTTTCCTTCCTAACTTCGACGCATAATAATGATCCCTCGCTCTGACTACCCCAGGACATGAACACATTAGAAAATACAGTGAAATCTCGATAAGTCAAACTCTGATAACTCAAAACCATATAACAATGATATACAACCCTGCTTGACTCAAAACTCTGCTCAGGTCAGATTTTGACCTGTTCCTTTGAGGTTTGACTTATCGCGATTTCACTGTACATGTAGATGAATACCTATACTGACCATCTTGTAATTAATCGTAGCAACCAAAACGTGAAGTATCCCTTTCCGTATTAAAACAGAAAAATCCAGACTTGGCAAACCAATTTTACGACATATTGAACGCCATAATGATTCGCAGTCATATCCTCCAGTTTTGTAACAGTCCAATACATGTACGACTACTCGTACGCATAATATGTGCAACAATCATAGCTCTGCGTGTACGTACTGAGTTGGTGTTTATTGGTCCATCAATATTTCTTTTGTCCATTTTTCTAAAGAAGGGGAAAACCATGGTTACGACATTTCATGTCACATTATTTGTATTGATCCGGTCGGACAAAGTGTTCAACGATGCATGAAAACCATTTTGGCAGTGTGCGCGTTGGCCATTATATCAAATCAAAAACAAATACTACAGACTAGCTATCCCCACCACATAGTGCTAGTGATGCGCTTTATCCATAGCGACTCGCAGTTGTAGGCCCTATTTAAAGAAAAGTATTATTTTCAAAGAGTTTCAGTCTATTTCGGTTATCAACGTCATCATCGTCCAGCAGTGCACGTAGTTGGACTAGCCCATTTCGATGTTAAAAAATAACAAGAGATATCTTGGAAAATGGATAAATCGAGGACATCATCATAACTCTATAAAAACACAGGATATTTGACGTTGAACCTTGTTTGAAGACCGTACCTATCGCTGAAAGCCATACTGGAAAATTGGGTACGTGAATAGAACCGCAAACCAAACAAATACCGTTCAGAATGACAACGAATTGGGTCAGGAGTTTGCGTTCATGCGTGCTCAAAATGGTCTCCAATCAACCTCGTTCCCATTGTGTCAAGCAGTACGCTCCCACTGCAACCTGCTCTTAGACTCTTGTATTAGACCCATGGGCGTCGCCACAATTATGTTCGGGGGGGGGGGGCAAAGCACATTCCATCAGCCCCCCCCCCAAAAAAAAAACCCTTGTATTTTCTCTAGCATATTCTCAATTTATCATTTTGTCGAGGGTGAGGGGGGGGGGGGCATTTACCCACCCCACCGGCCCCATTGACACCCTGCAGACGCCCCTTTTGTTAAAAGTGTATTAAATTACAAATATCTCACCCAAAAAGATTCAGTTCTGGATCCCGTACTTAACGGTTTTCATAAAAGAAAATATTGATGAGTTCGTTGCATACTAGGGCCTACTTTGTTCAATCTGGATCGTGAAAAATTTGCTCCATGCACCCTGATTCGATACCGCAACAGCAAGAAGTGAGGTACCTAAATCTTGCATTTGATGGTTATAATTCCAACGGGTATTACGTGTTTTAATAAAAAAAATTGAATTATAACACAAAACAACCATCCCTTTCATCGTAGTAATACCGCATATTGGATGGTTTTTTTATTCAATATTATACATTTTGAATTTAAAAAAATCGTGTTTCGGATCTCACACCGCGTTAAACTTGTCCTACGGTACGGTCTGTACACCGGACATGGCATACAAAAATAACACCAAACCATTCCGTATCTTATTTGCACGAGCAAGATTTTTGAACATGCAAATGATTTAGTGCCACCGTAACGGAGAAGACAGTGGGAGCGTACTGCTCTACACTATGGGAACAAGGTCGCCCAACTAGAATTCGGACGTTTCGGGGCTTACACAAAAGCCTTACAGTTACTCGCTAGATCGCTTAATAAGATTTGAAGGTTTGCATGGTGAATATAGCAATAAGATACAGGTTTACGGTACCATCATGTGACAAATCTCTTTTGTGAATGTGTAAGGCTCCGGAAAGAACCGAGGGAAACTGAACGTTTCTTTTTTGTAAGACATGTTGTAAACGTTTTTCATAGAAGAAAGCAATGAAATTGCCTACAACAAAACACACAAGAAACAGCCAGTCAGTCTTACATATTCAATATCACTTTTTTAATGTTTTTTCTTTCTCTTTTTGTGATAGTTTTTCGGGAAAATACAACATAGTTGATGTTATTTCAAAAAGTACAAAGCCCAGAAACTAATGGAAAAGAATAATAAATAAAGACTTCTAAACAAAAATCAAATAATTAAACTGTTAATTAAAAGTGGCAGTTTGTGTTAACAACCCTGATTCAACCAAATGTAATGACAAAAAAATGAAGGATTTATCGAGTAAATGTACATAATGTAGAGCATAGCCAAAATCTGTGATTCTGATAGATCATATTACCAAAATTATGAGAGGTTATTCTCACTTTTTGGGGATTTTTTTTGTTTAAAGCAAATCAAAACACTTACCTTATACAGGTAGATAATTGCGTAATTAAATCACACAAAAATATTAATGATTAGTATCGGCCAACTTTTTTTTAATTACCTTGCATTTGAAATGCAGGATACAATACTTTTAAGAATAAAGATACATTGAAATAGATTTGCTGAAAACTTCACTTGTCGCAAATTTGGGTTTCAGAGGATCATATTGGCCAGTTATTAATATCCAAAGCTGCACACACCAATCAAATTTCCAGGATAGAGGCCAATGCCAAAAGACTGCTTGTCAAGCACCTAAAAACCTGCATCACATTATCTTAGAAAGAACTGCGAATCTAGACTGATATTGTTTTTCATATTCTGTTCTGAAAATAGCTGGAATTTCATAGTTTAAGAAGGGAAACACGATCTGTCTGACACCCAACACTAAGACCTTAAATATGAATTCAAAAGAATCAGCATCACTGGGTGCCTGACTCTTCTACACAGCCACTTCCAAAGAATATTCACGTTCTGTTTCAACAATTACTTAAGCAATGTATACAGATACTTTTCCCTGTCACATAGTCGGGTGTTTTTAGGGTTTTGTTTGGCTGGGATTACGGTTCATATGCAAATGAACTTATTTTTAAGGAGTAGCAAATTGAACACAAATGGAAATAATCAGATTTCAACCTCAAACGAAAATACATATTTCCATTAAATTGAGTCAACACTACACCTTTGAACAATCTGGTATTCAAGTCACATGACTATAAAGCTAGTAGGCTCTTAAGTCAGTCACTTTCATATTTGATTCTGTTATTCAAAAGTCTTGTATTAAAACCAGTCGCCACAAACACTGTACAGCTGTCTCTGATCGAGTTGCAATCTCATGTTTACAGATAAATAAAAAAGTCCAACTAATCTTTCCGGAAATCAAAGATTCTTTTGTACACTCGCTCTGATCTCCCTTGCTGCGCGCTACAACATACTTCATAGCCAATTTATATGCTTCACCCATTCCGGATATTTTTCGCATGCATATCCGTGAAAACGAGTCTGAAAACAAACCGACTACACTTCTCTTTAATTGTATACCTACAAACTGTCTGGCAACAATACGTACAGATCAGTCAAGGGAGAGGCACTGAAAATCAAGACAGTGTGTATTTAAGATGTTAATTCGTTCTTAAGATGATTCTGTGTTGGTTTTCTGTGCAAACCAGAGTAGCAAAACACACGTGCATAGTTCATGGAAGTGTCCACAAGTAAATAATGATGTCTGGAAAACTTGCACATTTGAGCACCACGGCATACATGCAGATTTGTCCCGGTGTGTGCAGGCTGTGCACTTGTCACTTAAGTGGAACTAAACAGCATTTCCAAGAAACAGTGCAATCACAGACTGAAATAAATTATTAATAACATGAACTTCAAGCGATTTGTTAATACCTGTTCAATGGTAAACAACGTACGAATGTAATTACAGTATGCATTTGAATTTTTACCTAAATACCTAAATGTTGGTAATATGGTACAAATACTTGATTTCTAAAAGTCATGATGATTTCTGTTTACCTACATGTACCTGAAACTTCTGAGTTGTACTGTTGGTTGAACAGAAAAAAATATATGATTAACGAGAGGCTGTACAAACTGCTATTTGAAAACCTATTTTATAGGGGAAGTTAATTATAAACGAATGTGATTAGGCCTAGTCTAACAGGGCTCTTTCTTTTTCTTCTTTTTCTTTTTTACAGGGAATAGGGTTAAGATATTAATAACACAGATCAACAAAATAAAGGTTATGTTTATGATGAACCGACTTCTACAGAATATTTGTCACCCAATTATTATTATTTTTTTTAACATTCCTGCCTTTTCAAAGCTACACAAGGCAATTTCACAGTTTTATGACATACCTACATTGTACTGATTACCAGCAGTCAGAGCTGGACACCAGACTTCTAATGCATTGGAGCCAATGTGAGGCTCACTTTCAAAATAGTCAGGTTCCTCTGATGAAGGGGCCAATTCAACCCACGCGATTTTGTTTGTACCCTCGTCCTTTTTAGGAACTAGACAAAAATGGCTGCCCTGACCTCTATTTACATATAAAGTGAGGCTGGCAATATATAACCGGACATTGTTTTATTCAAAGGTGCTACCAAAACTGTAGAACTGCCTCGTAATAATTACAAACGTAGTTACTAATGAGATACCCAGTCAGTCTTGCATTTTCAAATACAACTTTGCAGAGAAAAACAGAAACACTGATTCTTTAGATTAGTAACAACTTTTTGTTACATTACACTTTACAAGAGTTACCACTACGCCTAGGCATTTAAAAAAAATATTACTAGTTGAGTTTATTATTTTTTTTTAGCAAAGCAACAAACAAATTTCGGCCATCTGGTGATCACACAGGCTAGCAAAATAAGGTGTTTTTACATCACCTTACTGGAAGACAAAAAATAATTAGCATATTCAATACACCTGTGTCTCTACTTGTAGGTTATTACGTTTGCAAAAAGAAATCTTCAAAATAATAAGCAATCCTAAGTCAACAATTTTGGCTTCAGTGTCACATATTGTGTCCCAAACGCTCTCTGAGACACGCGCACACACACACACACAGTACAAAAGAAGTCAATCCTTTATTTGATGCCATTAATCAAACTTGTTATTCACATGCTAATGCATATGCATGCGCATATGCAAAATTTGAATAATTATGCATAATTTACAGTCACATTCAGGCCATTTGAAACCACATATAAACCACTAAGTTATGCATACAATTTGTTTTTCGTTAATTCACCTAAATAGGTAACCACAATTTTTTTTTGTATTCATGTTTTCAGAAGTCATATAGAACCCACCCTAACTTTAAACCAGCCATCATCTTCTGTTTCTTTATCTACACCCATTCTTTACATACATGTATTTAGATACAAAAACATGTTTGTTTAAAATTCAAGGAAATAACTGAGAAAGTGCACACATTGCCTGACCCCTAGCTATATCCGTTTACAAACCATTTCAAATACACTAAACCATTCGGGCAAATATACAGTATTGTAACAAACCTAAATGTAGACAAATACATATTAGTGAAAAGTGTATTACCACGGTAGCTAAAAACAAAAACGGAAATCCATATATAAATTCAACGCTAATTTAAATAATTTACAAAAAGAAAAAGTTTGCTGTACTTAATTAACAATTACACATCCAACGTAGTGATGAATAGCTATTTAAGGATAAACCTGGATGGTAACCGACTGCTTCTGATATCTGTTCACAACTGTTTTAAAACTTAACAAGCGTGGTACCAGCGAGTTAACTCAACACTAACGACACAATGCGGATTGCAACTTCTATTAGGTATCTGATTTAAAGTATAGGATTTAAGTAGTTACGTAAGTTTTTATATTAAATAAGAGTAAGCTCGTTATATACATGTAGGACAGTTTCAAACAGATCATTTGTTTTTACAAAATATGAGAGCGTAACAGTTGAGACGCTTCTGCCAGTGATAATCACCATCACTGTCATCTGAAAATTGTCAAAAACCAAACCAAACTTATATACATTTACCCAACAGGTAAAGCACCCCCCCCCCCCCCATTATGTGTGGCTCAATTCTGACTAAATAGCAATGGAGGCATGAATTTTCACAGTTGAAAAAAAGAAACTGACTAGAAGGGGGTTTAAACCTGAAAACTCTGGATCGCTGTTCCGGCGCTGTACCAACTGAGCTACCTAGCCCTATGTTGGCAGCTAGCCCTTTTGTCAATGTCTTTGTTCAAGGGGCGCTAGTTAGTTTCCCATTGTGATTTACGCAAATGTTTTGTATGAAAAATACCACACCCCGCTGTAACGGTCTCCTTTACTGTGATGTGGTCTCCCCAACAGTACGACTGAGTCAAGCAGATTCATCACATCACAGAAGCACAATTCTTTTAGATTTGCCCGTGGTTTCAAATCTAAAACCAGGGCAATACTGTCATTTGTCCAAATGAGGGCATTGATTTCATTCACTTCCTAAACGCTCCAGGACAACTGACTCAACGCAATCATTATTTTGTTGGTATAGAGCACAGCTAACAATTCTTCGAACATGGAGGGGAAATGATAGACTACTATGGTAATGATACAGACCTGTTTTGATCATGTAATAATGATGCGCATGGTACCTAGACCACAAGCTCTAAACAATGCAATATGTTTTTAGGGTGTATGTAAAAAAGTGTGGACCTGACTATGTATGCTACAGAAAGTGAACAGGTTTTTTTTTCTCATGCACATTTTTTTTTTTTTTTTGGTTATTGTTTTTTTTTTCAGTATAGGCTTATTTATTTGGGTTAGACAAAGGTAAAACACTGCATATGATAACACAGCTAGTTTGGCACAGACAGTGCAGTATAAGTTTTTGTTCAAGTTTTTTGCTAAACACCAGAACTTGCCAGAAGCTAGGTTTGCTACTATGAAACATTGTCAGTGCTAGTACTGTTCTCACAGATGAACATGTTCTTAATGAAAAAAAAAACCTTACTTGTCATATCAAATGTTATTCAATTTCAAAAATATTACTCTATGCATTCCTCAGTACTTAAGCATTTTTTTTTGGCAAATGTTGATTCGAAAATACTAAGGGGAAAAAGATGGAAGTTGTATTTGAATCAATGAAATGGAATTGCTCTTCGAATGAGACGTCTTCTTAGAGTGATCTAGACATGAAGGGTAGTGCTTAGCTTAGCAACTTTAAAAGTTGATGTTGTGAAGACGGGATTATGTCGACATACAAATAACATTTGGGATGATGCATTCAGGTTGATCACAGATCCTCTACACAAGGATAAACGACTGATCTGAGCTTGTGTACAAAATGTACGGAATTGATTGTTTACATGCGTGCTATGCCGCGTCCGTGCATAGGACAAAGCTTGGAACATGTAGAACAATGCGAGTGCCATTATCGCCGACAGCTGGCATCCTGACAAAACTTTGACCACTGAAAGACTGCAGTCGCGTGCCGAGTCTCACACCCAAGCACGACACCCAAGTGACGTATCACGCCTCTAACCAGATATTTGAGGAAGTCCTTTATCCTTGTGTAGAGGATCCGTGGTTTGATAGAGTTCTTATGGAAATTGGGTCTTGGGGGAGTTCAAACCACTGATCTCTATATACAGACTGGATAGCGGATATGCATACAACATTCACACAGTAGACTTTGCATATTGACCAATTCGCCCCCGGTCTCACGAAGATGGCCGCGTATAATACGAACGTTCTACGCGTAAATACGCGCACGTTGTATCAACAGTTGACGCGCATTTTGGTCACATACACATATTATGATGTTCTAAAAGGGACACATTTCCGTAGTGATTATTATTTCAAAACGCCGAAAAAGTGATATTTGCGAAATTTTAGTAACCCGCGTTAGAAAAATTGTAGTTAACCTTGGTCAGTGGTGGTGGTCAAAATATAAGTCAAGTGAACCGCGACGTTAAGAAATCATGCTGTCTATAAAAACGGCAACTTGTCCTTTGTAGATCACCAGCCGGTCTCACCAATATGGCGTCAAATTCATTCATTGTGCGTCTCTTTATTAGCTATCCAGTCTTTATATAGAGATCAGTGGTTCAAACGTTGCACGTGTCACAAGAGAAGTTCAAGTTTCGAGAAAATGTAAAGCTTGAAACTTTCTTACTGCTGCAAATCTATCCTGGAAAGTTCCCATGTTAATCTTGAAAAATTCCTACAAACTAATCAGCATGTTGCCTCGAGTTGCTTGTAGCTGTGATAGAAAGTTCCTGTACAAAGCCTGGATACTATTTGTTTCTCATACAACTGATGTAAACACCCAACACTGCACTTGTTCTCGTTATTTTTATATTGATACCTTAATACTTTGATGAAAGGTTAAAAGGGACTGCGACACAATTCTGTCGGGAGTTACTAAAAAATTACTGTGAATTATTGATGATCCACCGTTTGACGAATGCACATGACAGCATGAAGCGCCCAAAGGGAACTAGCACTCATCCCCTCAAAACAGCATATAAATGTCCAGCTACAATGGACTACAGGTAACGGGTTATTAAATATCATGAATGTACATAAACTCAAGGTTTTTTTAAAAACAGAATGCCCAATCTGTCTAAGTTCACAGGGTTTTTTTAATGAAAATTTATCATCATGCGCTTTCAATGCATTGACTTATCTTCCAGAGCAGGTTTCATTGGCCCGTCTTGGCTCAAGTCGTTGATTCACGATGTACCATGCTCCTGCGAAACTTGAGCAAAGGAGTTTGTTGCTGATTTTGACATTTATTTTCTCACCGGTGAGAAGAGTTGAGAGCGAGGGTCTGTTAGTACGATGAAGTTCCCTTGGCGTCCCCGTCCCAGCCCCCGGACCCCCCAGACAGCTGGTCTGGTTCCACAACGCTTGTCCGATGCGGTGTGGGGGGAGTACTGGAACTAGAACCTGCAATTAAAATATCATCACAAGAAACCGAGTATTACTGCATGATGAAAATGAAAACACAAAAAAAATCATTTTAAAAAGTAAAATATGATGCCCTATGGCAAAACTAGGTTGTCCCTGAATTCACTCAAATAGCAGTAAACTGATGTGAGAACTGTGCACAATGCCAAGACATTGCCAAAATTTGCCACTTTATCCATCTTTATATAGTTCCTTAATCATGATTTCATGATAATGTGATGCCCAATGACAAGGCCAGAGTGACCCAGCAATCAATAACATGGCATTAAACTCATGCAAAAATGTTCCAAACGCTCTATTTAATGTCAAGATGTTGTCAGATTTTGCTACTTTTTTTGTCTTTAGATGTATTTGATTAATAATGAAAGTTGTTCTCTGAACTTTAGCAACTTGGAACTTTGTGCACATTCAGAAAAAGATAAGTTGTGTGTTCTTCATGTCATACACACGCAAACCAGTGCACACATCTTTGTAAACACCGACAATCATGGACCCCCTATTGTCCCTCATCCTCGTTCCTTTGTTTGCAACAGCTCTCACTGGTTTTGTACACGAATTTCAATCGTGGACTGTCCATCGATCGTGGACCCTTTGTTTGTGCCCTAACCCTTTTGTCCCTAGTCCACGATTGCCGGTGTTTACATACTCACACATGCGATGTGTCCTCTCACTGGGGTTTTTGAAAGTGGTACAAAAGCGTCACACTGGAATCAAATTGAACTTGGATAATTAATCAGATATTGGACTAGTTGACTAGTCTGAGCACCCACCTAATGAATGTCTAGGCGAGTGACTAGACAAAGGCGGTGACTCATCACTGTAGCTGCGCTGCCCTCCGTCATGGCCCCCACTGACCCCTTCCCCGCCAGGCACCCCGGGGCTAGTGGGCATCAGACTACTGCTCCCGTTGACGTCACCCCGGCCGGCCGAGTGCATGGAGGAGGCTCGTTCCCTGGAGCTAGGGACGGTCCGTAGGCCGGGCCCCATGGGCTGGAACATGCTGCGGACTCGCTGGAAGTCTCGACCCGACTGCTTCTCCTCGCGTAGTTGGATCTTTCTCTGATGTGGGATGTAACGGAAAAGAGAACGTCACTTCTGGACATTTGGATGGCACGTCGCAGCAGAAATTTACAAATCTTACAGCTGGTTTATAGTTTTAGTATAAAGCAAATTCACTTGGGTAATGCCAAACATCACAATGGAAAAAAAAACAACGAGTGGAATAACTGTTTGTGTGTGTAAGAAACCATTATTCATATAAGACCTTTTTCGGAAAAAATGTTGCAACTTGACGCCACTTCCGCAATTGTGTACAAAGTCTATGAAGAGTCAAGAAAATTGTCTAAGTATTTCCTAACAAAATGGGAAATGTTTCTCAGTCCCAGATTCATGTCTTATCATCATTTCTGCAATGAATGACCTTCATTGATATGATATATGAAGGAAAAAGTAGCGTCAGGCTGCAACATTTCTTCCCCTTTTTTCATATAACACAGTCCATGACCGTGACGTTTCCCACGGATGTGGTTTTTCTCTCTAAACAAATAAACGACACCACAGCAATTCACAAATGAAACTTAAGGTTTCATAATACCGCTGAATAAAAAGAACACCTTGTACAAAAATACTGCGAAGTGAGGAAAATAGAGGAAACAGAGTGTTATCGCATGCCAAAACTCACGTCAGGCCGAGGGTGTAAAATGATACCGCAACTTACCATGGAAAGAAAGGGAACAGCCAATTCGAGTGAGCAGTGAAAATGAAATGAAATGACCAACAAAATGAGAATGCAAGAAGAAGATTACAAACATGTTGAAAGAAAAAAGAAAAAAGAAATCAAACATTCCACAAAAAATAAACTAAGGTCTCCTCTCAAGGCTGAATATCACAGAATTGACCATTTTTGAAGTGCATCAAGTCTTTTGTAGTTATTCTTTTGATTTTTTTTTTAAATTGACATGCTACAGTTACTATCCAAAGACCACATGCTTGTTGCAGATACATGTACAGCCGAAGCAAAAAGTTCATGCAATTAAGAAAAGAAAAGAGGTGCCTATGATGCAACCCACAACTCCACTGTGGGCGTTTTTCTTGATTAACCCTAACTCCCCAGGCCTTTTTGCTAGGATGTAGCCTCAATCCTTCAAAATCCTCCAATTGGCCTCATGGAAAAATAGCATAAAGCCCCAATCCTGCAAATTCCTCCATTATTTCTTGAATATGGTCCATGGAGGGGTGACCACTGCCTGAATCCTGCAAAATACTGCGGCAGTGACGTCAATATGTTGAGGCTTGGCCAGTGACATCCTGGAGCAGTACGGAGGATTTCAAGCATAGTCCAGGCCTATATTTACATGTATGCATGGCTGAGCAAAGACAACACAAGGTCCGGCCAAAGACATTGACAAAGTGCATCCTACGAAATCAGTACTGTACTTTTGCCATGTAACCTCAATCCTCCAAATTCCTCCACTTTGGCAAAGAGGATTTTGAAGGATAGGGTTAAAGGTACTAGACAATGAAGCAAGACAAACTGCTAAACTAATGGTGGGATTTTTTAAACATTTGATTTGCATTCCACTATTCGGTTTGGGTTTTGGAAAATAGATATTCGAAAGCAACCATAGGAACAAAATAATCCTTCCATTTTATTGTGACACAGGCTTAAGAAAAAATCATCCAGAAAACAACTGGAACATGCCCCCGATTTGCTTAATGGTCTCTGATTGTGACCGCGTTCACTCACGAATGGTCTTCTTGGTTCACGAATAGCCTGCACATTTGACTGACCAGAGAGTTCCCACTAATCTCTTTCACCATTAGGCCAAAAAAAAAAATGGTCGGTCTCTGGTCAGACCGAAGTTCCGAAATTGATGCGGCGAGGCATATTTTTTTAAATTTTTTTTTTGGTGGCTTTTTTTTTTTTCAAGCTTGTATTGTACAGACAAAGTGGGTACTATTTTGCTTTTTTGTGTTCTCATTATACATTGGTGTCCTCCATCATTTGCCTTGGTGCCCTTTATCATTTGCCTTCGTGCAATTTCCCCATTCCTTGGTGCTCCTTGGTACAAAAATTTGAGGAGGCGCGGCAATAGAGGGTGCTGTTGTAGCTTCCGTGTTAATTTGAAGGAAAAAAAAGGTTCACGCGCATGATTAAAATCGACGCGCGCACTGACCAGAGACCGAGTATTTTTTTTTTTGGCCTTACATGAACAGCTCTGGAGGGCATTGCATGCGGCAACTCACTCGTCACTTTTTGTTGTCGCTACTTTGGGCTAATGGGAACTTTCGGTAAAATCTGATAACCATTGTTTGGTTTGAAAAAAAAAATAGGAAAACCGGAGTTTGATATCTCCGATACCCCCACCACTATGCTAAACACTTTGTAGCATGATGCAATCTCATTGATAATGCTGCAGAAACACTACACAGCTGCCCTGGCACTGTGTAAAAGAGCGAACATGAAGTTTTGCGGTGGGGGTTGACACATTCGTTCAACAAATAGTTGAGAAGGCTCACAATGTGCTGAAAAATGAAAGGAATGCGCACACAAACCCAAGCAGTGAATGTGCCAGTTGGCAAAGGTTGAGGTTTTAGCTGGAGTTTCAACTGCAATTACTTTACACTGAAAGCAGGATTATGCACAAGCAAGCACAGATATGTGACTTAGAATCAGTTTCAAAGACGAAAATGAAAAGAAGAAATTATCTAAATTGAAATCCTCTCTCTGCCAGTCACAATCTATCAAAAAGTAGGTATCTTCTATCCATTCCTCACTTGATGGAGCTGCGACGTGGGGAATTTCACTAAATATAGACAATTCTTTCTAAGCAACAGGTGTAATTTGGCCCAGAAGACATTATACAAATAATGAATGTTTGAGAGTCCAATGTTAAGAATAGTTTCATGAGGTGATGGATCGAATGTTCCCAACCATCTGTCACCGAACAAAATTATTCTTTCCACTGCACGAATGTGAAACATTCATTTTTTTTGTTTTATACAATGCCTGAATGAATCCTTGTCATCTGATTGGTCAGTGCTGCCAAAAGTGTGACCATGCTATGGAACTTTCGTTTACCGTGGAATAGAACTTCTATTTTTGAGGTGCAGCCATGCCATGCGTTGGTACAAATAATTCAACGACATGTGATCAACGACCCACAAACCAGATGACGGTAATTTATTCAGGCATTGTATAAAAAGCATTATGCAATGCTTGAATAAATGCCTGTCATCTGACTGCTGGGTCCTCAATCACGTGTCATTGAATTACTTGTCCCAAACCAAGGCCCAGCCGCACCGCAAAAAAATAGAAGTTCCATTCCACGGTATTAAATAGAGGTTCCATTGCACGGTAAATAGAAGTTGCATTGCACGGTCACACGATTCATCATTTGCATAACATTATGCCCAGAGTGATTGAAAGTGAAAGGTCAATCCATCGGGTCAAAGGTCGCCTACCTGTGGCAGGTCTTTCAGCATCTGCATACCATCCCCAGGCCCCATGTGAGTGATATGGTTGAAGTCTGACGGTCCGGATATCATCGACTTGCGATCTTTTGTCCTTCAGAAAAGAAAAGAAAGTAAAGCTCAGCCTCACTCATGGTCAACAAAAAAATTTGAAAACTCAAGTGTTTAGTTCCGTGTTTTAGTTTTCGTCTTTAAAGGCATATACAGTAGGAAATTGCTACTCATGCATTTTGTTCATTTCCAATAATAACAGCACCCAACATCCAAAGCAGAACGTTCAAAATCTAACCTGTTGAAGTTTCAGCTCAGTGGATATTACACTTTTTGAGAAAACAGTGAAAACCACGCAAAACAATTTCGTCCATAGCACTCTGTACTTCCACAAATAAGTCAATGGACTGATCATTGGAAATCACCTACGTTACTTGATTTCTTCCAAATGACAGCAAGCCAGACATAAAAATTTCACAGGTATTTAGTACTGGAGTACCAGTACGACCATGAATCTAATCAAGCTTGGTAAAAAATTTGGTAGGCTACATTTAGGATACTTGCAAATGATCCTTTTATGCTTTTTAATAATAAGGAATATGTACAGCACTTTTTTTTCTAAATGATTTCCACTAATGTAACAATATAAAATTATTTTAAAACAATTGTTTAAAAACAACGTTGGTTACTTCCTCTATTACTTCACTCATTCTGCGGGAATTTTTGACAAATTTTTGTCTACATTCTTCCATAACTTTATAACAAGCCTGCTGTACAGACAAAAGCTAGTTCGTTGAACTCAAAACCAGCCTCACCCACTTCCTAGTCATTCTATGAGTATCTTGCCAGATTGATTTTCTTGATAGGCTTCCAAAACTTACTTCTTGATTTCTTCCCTGTTCTTGAAGGAGAACCTTCCCTTATCTCTCTTGATGTTCTGCTTGTTGGTGTGCGGAATCACCAGGTCGTCCTTTTCTGCTTTAGAACCAAATCAAAACAATTTGCAATACCTTACAAAAACGTGCGATAAAAAATTGCAACTGCCTGACTTTCAAAACTATTTGAGGTCTGACAACAATAGTCAGCAGTCACCTTGTTACATCGAGTCGCATAAAGCTACACAAGAACACTGTACATCTAATACATCCTCAATTACTGGATTCTTATAAGGCTCACATGACAAGACATAGTCTGATCTGGGTTGTGTTTTTACAGACTGAGATGCCACAGGGAAAGCTTGAAAGAACCGGAACTGGGTCTGCTTGAAAAACCCCGGAACGGCTGCTTGAAAAAAAACCGGAACTTTTGTGTGTGTGAAAAAGCCACTCTGAGTCCGGTGACACAAAGTCCCCGTTGTCATCTTATCTTGTAGCCAAGCCCAGTTCCGTTTATTTTTTAATTTTGCTTCTATGGCCTTTAAGCTGTCGGTTCGTTCGATCACTTTGACTTTTTCCATATTCCTAATATTTATTTTGCCTACCCGAATTTCCAACGTAATATTCGACACGAAACATGCACGATTCCACAACACTGCTGTCGGTGTACAAGACCTTTGCAGTTTACACTACGCGATGCGCTCTACGAAAAAAAGGTTGGTACCCGGCGTTTTTTTGTATTCACATATATCACTGCGATCGGAAACCATCGACAACTGAAATGATAGACTTGATTTCCAGGATGAATGCCTTGTGTGCTTACGCACAACACACCCGCACGCGGTGAAGCACGCGCGAGGCGCCGTTGTAAACTGCGTGCAAGTACGTTGGCCGCCTTTATCACATGCAGGCTCTGCAACAACAAAGACTGATTTTAAGACTACTTCAACGAATAACGTTGTGCCGTGCGTGCGCCTAAATCTTAATCGAGAGCGCTAAGGAGGTAAAAATCAACGCCTTTCCAGGTTAATTTTGACGGAAAACTGGAATTTAGTGAGATTTTTTTTTATAAAACGGAATTTTGGTTAAAACCAGAAAAGTGGCATCTCTGTCTTTACACCACGATAAAATGAAACACTGTTCTTACCTCCGTCGTTGTCGTTGTTGTGAAGGTACATTAGCCTGGGAGTGTGCAGGTCGGTGACGTAGCACAGGTTGAAGCTGCCGTCGTGGGTCAAGGGATGCGTCTGTGTACAAAGCAAAGACAAATGTGGAAACAATATGTCAATGTTGCTTTGAAGAATCAGGCAAAGGGACCAATTAGACTCTTTAGAGTCCAATCATCTTCAAGAGGACCACATGATAAACTCTTACATGGGATTAAAAAATTGTAACATATACCCAGATCAATTTATAACATTCATCATAGTTTAAGGGCAAACACTGAGCATTTGTTCACAAACGTCACAGGAGCATTGTGAAGCATGTTTAAATATAACTTTTAGCCAAAATCATGGCTGTTCTGATTCAAAATTTCCACAAAAAATTCATGCAAGATTTGATGCTTTGTACTGAGTAAAGTTAACCTTTTTGCTCAGGGTCAAAAAGGTGGGGTTTCTTTAACCATTGGTTACTCACCCCTTTGATGGGAATGGTCTGGAACCACTCCATGTGACTGACTTCAAACATGTCCACTGATACCTCACTGTACACCACGAGGTACGGATAGTTGAAACCTACAGGAAAACATTGAATACAACTACTTTTTAAGACACATCAATTAGGAAGAAATTTTCTCAAATTTACAGGCAACATTTTGAGATTTCTTTGGTCAGTGTGATTTCAACAGAATAAATATCAAAATACATAGGGGAAAAAAACGTGATCACGGGACTAAGAATTGAATTTGCATTCTGACTTAAAGGGAATATACAACATTTGCAAACATCGAAAAATAAAACTACCAAGTTTTTACGAAATACCTTACTAGGATGTTGGTAAATGACAGTCTAAAGCCTCCTGTAAAATTATGGCACCTGGTGTGAAGTCATTTTCAAGAAAATGGTATTTTTGTATACATTTCCAACGGTGGTCGGCCGACCACCGTTGGAAAAACCTAACTATTTTTCAACTTCTGCTCCAACTTTACACTTTTTCAGTCCAAATTTGGTTTGCTATTGGTTACATGTTCATGAATGGGTGCAGGCCAGCTAGACTGGTTCCCTTACCTTACAATTTTCCGGCATCTATAAATTGATCCATTTTATCTTTAGTGGAGTCAAGGAACCAGACTACTTGAACATTTTTGTTTTTGTTGGTTTTTCCACCTTTTTCGAACACAAAACTTCAAACATGTCAGTGTTTTTTTATTAATTCATGTCTTTTATTCATTAATCATAAATCAACAACAACAACCAAAAGACATGGAGGAAACCTAGAACATCATGAACATGAAAGACGAATCAAAAGAAACAGTCTAAATGTCAATGAAGCAAGGAACTAGAAATTAATGTAGAAGTAAGAGACAAATTGACAAATTAAATAATTAACAATTTAGCATAACAAGAAAAGCATAACAAGAAAAGCATAAACCAGGGAATAACGATTGCTTGGCTAGGTCAAGGGAATATTGATGAGTGGGATGGGCGATGTGAAAGAATACCTTAATCTTGAGAATCAATCCAAACGGGGCTGTATTTTGAGTAGAAGATTACGAAGGATGAGACCAGTGCTGTTTTTGACAGGTGAGTGGTGAGTTGCCGTATTTCGGTTTTTGTCATCAGATTGAATAGGGAGCGGATTTGTGTTTTATTGTTTTCGTCTATGAAGCCTCTACTTCCTATTTCCAAGGCGATGAGTTTGGAGTTGAAACCTATCTCACGGAAATCTCGTGTTAGGTTGGCATATTTTTGCATTTTGTAGTCATGGCTTTTAGTTATGATAGTTTCGAATGGTACCGTTAATTCAACTATGGTGATGTCTTTGTTATGTTCGTCTGTTATGACAATGTCTGGCTTAAGTGTGGTTGGTAGTATGGATGGCGGGATGGTATTGCCGCCAGGAGCATGTTTACCATCGAGATCGGCAAAGAGTTTGCGGTTAGAGCAGCTGTTGTACATTTTGTCTAGGGATTTACAGATTTCCAGTAAAACATTGTTGTGGCGATAGGTGTAGCGGCCTTGATTGAGCATTACTGGGCAGTAATTGAGGACATGTAACAATGTTTCCTTGGATGTGCAAAGTGTGCACTTGGGGTCAACTGACTTACCCCAGAGGCAGAGATTGGTATTGACTGGTAGAGTATCTATGATTGCATTGAGTCCAAAGCGAAGAATTTTCCGAGGTAAATTATACATTATTGATTTCCAAGTGATGTTGGATTTTTCCGTTTCCATAAGTTCTAGGAGACGGCCTTGTTTAGCAAGGGATTTGATTTTTTGATCCCATGTATTAGCAATGTCCTTTGCTACGGATGACTTGATGACTGTTTTGAGTTTGTGCAAATGTTTTCCCGGGCTATTGTCTTTGGCCGGTATTTCCTTCAGAGCTTTTTGGAGAACGTTTTCTGAATAGGCAGTAACGGAACATTTTCTAGACCAGGATGATTCGCGGTGTAGTTTGGAGTCTAGACATTTGTTAACCATATTGTCTCCTTTGATTCTTGTGGAGGCATGAGCTAGGGCATGACATTCTCTGTACAAGAACGTGAGTGATTTGATCCCTAATCCAGAGTTGGAATGGAGGAGGGAATTGGTAGCACTTTTGGGCAGTCCTCCCCATTTTTTCAGGTACTTATCGATGTTTTGATCGAGTGTGTTTAGATCAGTTTTAGTTATGTCGTGAACAGTCAGGCAGAATCGTAGTGAAGAGAGTAGGTAGTTACAATACACCTTTAGTTTGTACTCATCACGGATTTTAGATTCATCTATTCTGTTAAGATACGAAATAATTTTCTGCTTAATGTGGAACATTGTGTCGCGTGCTTTCCCACTGAATGTTATTATCGACCCGAAAAATGAGTGCGGTTCATCTTTAATTGTTGGGATCAGAAAATCGTTGATTTTGAAGATTTTTTCTGTAGGCTTGCCGCTGCAGAGAGACAAGGATTTGCACTTGCTGGGTTTGAGAATAAGATTCATTGATTGAGCTCGAGACACAATGTTGTTGATTATACGTTGGTGCGATTTAACATTGGTGGTTATGAGATTAAAGTCGTCGGCAAATGGGGTACAGATGAATTTAGTGTCATCTATGGTATACCCAAAACGTAACTCTGATTTGATGTATTGTACCAGGGGGTTAAATGCTATTACAAAGATAATGGGTGACAGGGGATCTCCTTGGAAAACTCCCTTTTTGAATTGAAAGATTTCACTATTCCAGCCAGGTCCCCTAACATAGCCTGTCAGATTGCTGTATAGGTTCTTGATATAGGCCTGGATGATGGGAGGGAACTTGTTTCTTTCGAGTTCATGATAAATAAGATCGTGTTGAACACTTCCAAATGCATCAGCAAGATCAAACCATGTAACATGCAGTGTTTTTTGATTGGCTTTGGCATGAGATATGAGCTCATGCATGGTTTGTGTGTGCTCGATGCATCCGTTGATACCTTGTATGAAAGCTTTTTGCATAGTAGTGTCGATAAGTTCATTGTCTATGAGGTACCTATTAAAACGTTGCGACAGTAACTGGTGATAGATTTTGGCTACGCAGCTGTTGAGGGCGATCATACGGAAGTTCTCAGGCAGAGATGCTTCTCCTTTCTTGTGGATGAGGCTGACTTTGCAGCACGACCATGATCTTGGCGGTGATCCAACTTGCATGATCCGGGAGAAGAGGGTGGCCAGGAAATGATGAGTGGCTGGTAGCTTTTTCAGAATTCCGTAGGTGATATTGTCCGGGCCAGGGGATTTATTTGATGACTTGTGCTGTAGAACTGATTTGATGTCCCTCGGCCGAACTGGTGTGAGGTCAAAGTCCGTGCCGTCATCGGGTACTCGGATGTAAGGGAACCAGTTGAGATCGTTGTGGATGAAGTGGGCTGAGGAGGAGTATTTCTTTGTATAATACTCATTTGCACAACATTTTGTGAAGGATGGCTTGGTAACGTCTTTGTACAGTTCGCCTTTGGTAAGGCGCTTTGCAAATTCGTAGAAATTGCTGTGAAATAGTTTCTCTTCGTGTTCAACGTTTTTCAGATCTTTGGTTTTCTTGAAGACTTTTTTGAGAGCACTATAGTGTCTGTTCGCTTCGTTGAATCTCTTGCGGTTTTCATGTGTACTGTTTTTTCCAAACGCTCTTTTCCTCAATTTGTTCATTTCCTTTTTGGCATTGGTGAGTACTCGGGGGTCATGAGAAACATACCCCGTGTGCTTATCTGATTCAACTAGTTCCGGTTTTCCTTTGACAAAGTTGAATAATGACTCTGTGAACACCTCACCTGCTTGTGACGGAGTTATATGACCCGACGATAGGTCGAAATGGAGAGGGCCAAGTTGTGTTTTCAGTTCCTGGTTCCAAGTTTCCCACTGTGAGCGAGGTAGGTTTGGCGTCACAAACCTGAGTGGCATGATGCGTGACAATACACCATGACAGTAGGACCATGGGTTAACAATGGGATGAGTTCCATGGTTGGTTGCTTCTGAAAGCACTGTCCTGTCTAGAGTAGCTAGCAGGGCCAAAATGGTGACGACAGTGGCACCCGTGGCCATCTTACAGCTGGTCCAATGAAGAAAATTGAAGATCTCGGTTAATCTTGGTTCTTGGAAGTGATTCCTGTCTCGCAGGGTTCCTGACTTCGAGGATGAGTGGATATTAGGATTTGGGATGAAGGAGATGAGTATAACTGGGCACCAAAAGCAATTTTTGCATAGGCTTGACAGAGCCGTGGTGTCCAGATCTACATCCCTAGATTAATCGTTCATTTCTGAAAATTACAGCAAAAGCCAATGATGTACATTCCCTTTAAGTAGATGGTCAATTGGCCCGAAAAGCAAATGGTGAGGTTAAGTTTTCCATTCTGTGCTACTTAAAAAAGGGAACTTTGTAAAAAAAACAAATTTAAATTGCTTCATAAATTGAAGCGGTGGTTATTGGGGACGAATGGAAAGATGTAATTTGGGATCAGGGGAGAAGTCTAAGAAAACTTGAACATTGGATGGTTCCGCTTGGAAAAACTGCCTTCACAAATTGGAAACACATTCTGTCCCCACTAGGAATACAATGGGAACACTAGGAAAGATTCCCATATCTGGCCATCATTATTTTTTTCCCTTCAGTGACCTATCAGCCATCAAAAAAGTGATGATATGTCCTAAAAAGTCCAATTTAGCAGGAAAAAATATTGAAGTATTTACTAAGAAAACACTTAGAAATGTTCAGACCAGTCTCATAGGGTTTGTTCCCACAAGGAAAATGTTGAGTTTGAAAACTAAGCATTGAGAGTGGAACACCAAAAATGTCAAAGTTTTTGAGACAGATGCTCTCTGGGAAAAAACACTTTCCTGCCAATTCAAACAAATCCATTCAGTTTAGAGAAAGACTGTTGAATACAATTGTTTTTCGGCAGGACTGCGATATGGCAGGAGTACAGGTGATTTCAGCAGATTTCAGGCCAATTTTATGAAGATGGTCATTTTCAATGAAAAGGTACTCGACAGGGGTCAATCAGATTTGTCTATACACTCACATATGGCGGTGGGTACTGCCGGCCACATCAGTTCTTGTTTCCTCGTCCGACGGCCCTGGTAGTCCACATACACACCAACGGCTATTGAAAACATCAACATTGAATCCGATAAACCATACAAGAGAACTCACTACATGTACTTTTAATCAATAGACCTTAGGCATAACTGCCGTCATTGAGGGTTACTTTATTTCAGTATGCGTACAAAAGGTCTGCACATACCCGTCCCAGTAGCTGAACAAAGGCATTGGCTGGTATAGATGACAGTAATGCTTAAAGATGCGTTCCCCTGCTATTTTTGAGTTTCACTTCGAAAAATAGATATATTTTTTTTTTTTCAATTGCTATTTTCCTATTAAGTTGTTCACTTTTGAATAAGACACTGAACAAAAATTCACTGACATTAAGTCACTGAATAAGTTTTTTTCACAAAATAAAAATTATCGGCTGCAAGACAATTATTCGGCTCTCTCACAGGGTGGTTCATTTGTGCACAAAATAAAAGCCCTTTTCAGAGGTTATTTTAAACAGTGTTTTTCGTTAAAACAGAAAATACAAATTGAAAAACATTAGGAGAAAAAAAATCCGTTTCTGAAGAACAAGGGGTATGCAACTTTCAAGTCAAAATTAGGCCCCAAAAAAGAGACGAATTTGAATGGCATGGGAACTGCACCTGTAACCTCCACAGCACCACACCGCTGCTTGACTGATTCAAAGACTGTCAAAAGAATAGCCCACTTGGCGAAATATTCTGGTAGCTGCAGGCTCAAATCCCACTCAATTTCTTTGTTCCAACCTTATATTGATTAAGTTTAAAGCTCATTAATTGATTGGAAAAGGTTTTAAGGCAGAGAGTTGGAGTTGGAGCATTCAGCCATTTCAACAATTTTGGAGTATGCACAAAACTACATTTCACAATATTTATCAATTTTATTATGTAAAAAGGTAGATGCTATTCAGAAATCGAGACTTTTCATACTTACTCATAAAACACAATAAATATTCTTTGTTGCTGATTTGTACAGCGGCCAGCGCATCCACAGGAGTCTTCTGAAGGTAGGACAGGGAAGGATCATCCACATTCAGCAAAGCTACAAATCAAAACAAGAGCGGGAGCAAAATCAGTCAAATTCGTTCTAAAAACTGAGATGACCCCTTATGGTAACAGAAAAAAAAATAATAGCCTATGTTGGGTTAAGCTTGTACGGTATAGGATTTTGAGAGTCCATGATATACCGCCGCGAAAATATGGCGGTGTTCGGTAGTATAGGTTACTTTTCTGGGTGGATTATTATGTCATCAAGATACAGTAAGACACATGGTGTTAGGGTTAACTGCTAACAGGCAGCATGGACAGAACTTTAAAGTCCTGCTGGATGACAATTCTCACAATTCTCACCTCATCTAGATACCGTGACAGCAAGGAATTTAAATACAATGTAATTATCCCTACACAAGTACACTGTAGTGCAGTTCTCACGAAGTTGTATCTTTCACCTTTTTAAAAAGGGCTTTTGCACACATCTGGCCACAATTAAGAGGGAATATTGTGGTAATGAAATTCCATACCTAGGTCGTCAGTATTTCAATATTTTGACATCATCATTCGTTACCGTTCTGTATCAACAAAATATTGTCACTACACGGTATTAGTGCTCAACAGAAGAGCTGGCGGTGTAACTGCCAAGTTAAGCACCATTGACTTTGGTCATGCAGTAGTTGGGTGGGAGACCTTTCCATGTATTGTCCTGGTTGGTGGCTTGTCTGGGACGTGATAGGGCTCCTTCAACTAGCCCGCGTCTTTCGAATGGGACGTAAAGCTGTAGGTCCTGTGTATTGTGTAATGCACATTAACCACCCAGGACACTTATCGTGAAAGAGAAGGGGTTTGCCCCGGTGTTTCCGGATCGGCTGCATAGTGCGCCCTCTCTGAGCATGCTTGGAATTTTCCGATGCGCATTTGAATAAATGAATAAATTATTATTAGTTTTATTTTTATTGGAATGTAGTCCAATTAAGCCTACGTTGGATGTGCTGTCCTTCCCCTTGTATGCTGAAGAGGCTGAAACCAGACGTGTAGCCGGCACAGAGTCGCTCCTGGAAGACCTCCAGGGTGGAGCAGGGCGCGGGGAGGGTCAGCTCCTTGATCTTCCTGTGTCGCAGCTTGGTGCGATTGAACTCGTAGACCAGGACGTGACGCTTCATGGCCACACACATGCACATGGTGGAGCCCTGCCGGATGCGGCCAGTGGTGAACAGCGTGCTGCCTTTAGGCTCCTCTACCTTGATGGCGTTGGCCTCCTGGTCTAGGGCTAGGATGGGGATCAGGCGCACGTGACGACCCCTGCCTGTGTAAGGTTACACCAGGATTAAGAAAACCATGATAGGACTATGGAAGGTCTTGACATTGGGCTTTGCTTTCAGATTTGGTTTCCTCTCTGGATTTAAATCATCTTTTTATTCCTGCCGCGGCTTAACTCGTTTTTAGCATGTTTGGTAGACACATTTCGAACTTCCAGGCGAAAAAAAAAATCTGTAAAAAGAAGTTCCTGCCAAGATAGCCAACATATACAAATGTACAGATGCCGCACCATATGAAGTTCACTACACTTCCGGGAGCATGCTTGCGCAGATTTTTACTGCGCACTTCGTTTGATAGACTGTTTCCCAGTCCCTCCATTGTCCTTTCCGAATTTGAAAGTATTAGCGAACACGATTATGTGGACCGTGAATGACAGACCACGCAGGAATGGCACGCTTTTTGAAATGAAAGATTCTTTGAAAGCAGCATTGTCAAAAAATGTAAAAATGAAGAATAAAATCGTGAAAGAGTCAAATGGGTGAAAAATCGTTTAAAAAGTACGCCAAAATCGTATATGTTGGGAGCTCTGAGTCATGCGTATTTTGCGCCATATCGCGCCAACCAGTGTCACAAAGTCCAATCTAGTGTTCGTTCACAGAGTTAATTTGAGTAAAATTGGTTAACGATTTTGTGAGTACTGTCCACTTTACCTGAGATGACGATAATGAGCTGCTCGGTGGGCACGATCTCAACGTGGAATATCTTCTTGTTATCTACCCGTGTAATATAACCAGTGGACAGCTGAAGGCAGTACAGACCCTCGTCAGTCCCAAGCAAAAACCTATCGTAATCTGCAGATAGAGCCACGGAATAGTAACATTACATACCGGCACTTCCATATCAAAACACTGGTCAAAGCATTTACAACTATGACACAACCAAACAAATAGAGAATGAAGCAACTTTTGACTTTGACACCGCTTTTTCTCCGGCATTATGTCCCTCTTCATCAGGATGTCACAGTGAGTTGTCAAAAGAAACAACCGGATGTTATCTTTGTAATGCACATGAAAATCTTATGCGGTGAAATATGTCCTTCAGATATTATTAGTTTATACAATGAGTTCAAGAGCTATTAAACTAAGCATCATCCAAATATCTGGGTCAATTAATTGAGTTAAGTCATGAGGTATTCCTTTGTCATTGACACTGGTGATGGGCTTGTGATTTTCACTAGTGATGGGCCTGTGATGAGACTTGTGAGTTCCCTGGACTTGTGATTTCACTTGCAAATGGACTTGTGATTTCACTTGTGATTGACTTGTGATGGACGTGTGATTTCACTTGTGAGTTCACTGGTAATGGGCTTGTGATTTCACCTCTGAGTACCTGTGATTAGACTTGTGATTTCACTTGTGATGGACCTGTGATCAACTTGTGATGGACTTGTGATTTCACTTGTGAAGGACTTTTGTTGCATGTCTCATTAAGAATGTCTAATTGAGAAGTGACAGTCGTCAGTCAGCGAGTCAGTGAGTCAATGAGGTACAAAAGGGAGCTAGCAAAGTTGTCATGCCATTGACTTGTCAATGTTTACAACCAGGTTTACACAACCGGCAAACAAACTCACCGACGATGTCAGCACAGTGGACCATCTTGATGAGGGGCATGCTGGGATCGCAGACTTCCTTGGCCAGGAAGACGGGCTTCTCGGGACGCTTGTTGCGTCGCAGGATGCGATGCAGCTCATTCAGGGCGTTCACCCACTTCTTCTTGTCGTTCTCGCTCGAGGCCAGGAGGAGGAACTGGGCTGTCAGGCCTGGTGGGTTCAGCTGTGACGCGGCCACCTGGGGGAAAGGGTTGAGGGGGACAGCAAACGATCAAACACCAATCAGTTGGAGCAGGGTTTTCGAGAAGTCTTCAGAATCACTTTGAATTCCTTATGTCCAAACTAAATGGAAACATTGTTAACTCTGTCCAAGTGTCCATTATTATAGTATTTGGTGTTCTTGAAGCAGAATATGCCAACGATAGTTTTAAAATGTGGGCTTTCTCCATTCTTTAAGGTTCAAAACCCAACATTTAAATACATCATGGATAGTGCTATAACAACGCAACCTGCCGTTTAACAAAAACTCTGTGATATTTTGTGACCTCTCATCTCAGTACTCACCTTGAAGATGCAAGGGACGTCCTTCCGATCAGCATGGATGACATCTGATTCCTTGACAGTGCTGACTTGAAAGTCTTCATCCCTGTCACATAAAAAGGAATCAAACAGTTTGCTTTTAAATCAGAGGGAAGATGCAGTTTCAAGAAGACGCTCTTTTTTTTAAGGAAAACTCTTAAAATTGTCGTGATTGCTGTGCACACTGACAATTAATTTAGCCTTCCCTGTAGTCTGAATAGGTAAATGAGTAGACTGAACATCAGACCTCATAAAGACAATGACTTAAGCTGAAGACACTCAATGAATCTTCTGACGTTGTCCGATTCAGTTTAAATTTGGCATCATTTTGAGTCGGGTCCTGCTGGGTTCAGCTCAATGTTTTTAGATGTTGGGAGCAGATGGTTCAGATGTGCAAGAAACCAAAATAAAATTAATCTTGATCTATTCCAAATGGGATATTATGGGCTCCGGACTTCAATCTCACAACAGTGTAATTTACTTCATTGCTCAATGTTGACCATTAACATTAATTACGTCCACACCTACACTTGCACAGTTTTGTCCAATTTTATGGAAACTCTTATAGACTAATCCCACAAAAAAAACTGTAAGCCATTTTTTTGGTGGAACCACTTCCGCGCACACGCCACACGCGCTATTAACCCTAACCTTTAGGGTGATTTCCTCATCCTTGCAAATTCCAACAACATATGGTAAACTGTGCACATAAACAGTTGAACTCTGTTTATTTGTGGTATGCCAAACCCCAAGTAAAGCATAATCAGTTTACTCACTCCAACAGATTCCAACAAACCCTGGTATTGGAATTTGACTGGATGGGGATTGTTAGGGTTAAGGACAAGGTGCGTGTGCATTTTGGTAACTCTAATGGTCTAAGGAGCCCACAGTGCGTGTGTATTACCTGAGCGCGACGAGCGCAAGCCTGGGGCCACCAGAAATGGCACCAGGCCATATGGAAACTCACTTTTTGGGTCAGTTCAGGTCAGGTTTGCTAGGCTTGTTTTGCATTGGTTTTTCCTTGAGAGTTTACCGAGTCAGGTCAGCTAGGATTATTTTAGCTCTGATCAAATGCGATTCAGGAGAAGTTTCCAATTCTGTTTCACAGTTTGTTTGGGCATAGTCAACCTGACCTGTTGTTAAAATGATGCACATGCCGATTTTCTGAGTCTTATACCCAAGAGAGATACCCAGGAATAGTCCGGCTTACAATGCCTCACCTCATATCAATGATGTGAGAGGGTTCCAGGTTACTCTGGTTGCTCTTGCCTTCCATCATGTCAAACAGGAAGAGTTTGAAGTCGCAGACCACGGCGAACTGCCGCATCCAGCCCTTGCGCACCCCGCCAGGCTTGGGGATCTTGAGCACCCCCTCGTAGGCTGTGCCGATACCCCGGTTGGGATCAATACCCAGGGGCTTGGCGACTAGAGACAAATGGATAAAAAGAAGAACGAAGAAAAAAATCACTTTATGATGGCACGGTGTGATGTAATGGAAGCATCATGAAGATTCTCCTTTGATGTCAGATGGGTTCGGGACACCTGTTTCGCACTCATGTTCCAGAGTCATACCTAACCAAATTATTGTGATGATTAGAATAAAGCACATATCAAAAATTAACATTTGAGTCCAGTCAACTAAAAATGAATACATAAAGTTCGCCTGTCTCAAACCAAAATATATTTGGGTTGCTTCTTAAATCGTTTGGTTCGGCAAAACTCTGGAACATCAGCCTTATATGGGTCAGGGGATCAACCGTTTAGCAGCCCAAAGGCTGAATTACAAAATGAATAACAATAATTTTCAAAGACATAAGAGGAAATCCTACTGTGATATATAACATTCACACAAAACCAACATTTAAAACCTTAATTTGACAATCAGACATTCCAAAATTAAAACCCTTAAGAAGATTAAACACAGTACAGAAAACCACTGATATAAAGGTGAACGTGTTTCAATCAAGTAAAGTCCTTTACATAGTGAACAATGCAAAAGTCTAGTGGGATAACGGACTGGGCTATTTTAAATCTATTGATGGAACAGGAATATTCTTCATGCACTACTAGACCTGAGCTTATATAGCCAAGCCGTGATATTGGGCCCTGTCGATTCCATGTCAAAGTAAACAACTGAGAGTGTATAAGAAAGACAGACAGAGGGAGTGGCCTGAGGAAATGTCTTACTCTGATCAGGCGGGATGGGACACACATGAGCTCTTTCTTGGGAGCAGGCAACATGACAGGCGTACTGGCACACTGCAAAGATAAAAAAAAAAAGAATCAAAAATTGATGAAGAAATATCAGTAAGCTGTTTTACAAACAAGATAATCGTTAAGGTCGGTCCAAACTAACGGTCAGTTCATGGCTAATGTCACAATGAAACTTCAATAGCTGTCGTCATGTAATTTTTCTTGGCTTGTGCTTGAGTATGAACCTGCCTTTATACTCTATGGGCAGCCTTGTGAGCTTTAACACCCCCCCCCCCCCCAAAAAAAACTGTTCCCCTATTTTCTGAATTTTCTCTTTGAAAAGCAAGTTCTGCAAACGGAATCTCTCAAAGACAATTTGGGTCAACTTTTCAAATAAGTTTCATAACAAAGAGAACCAAACTCTCCAATTAAACCCTTCAATATTCAAATGAGCAACTATCAGATAACATGCTTAATAGTGCAACCAAAATGGTTCGGGGTAATTGGCAAAAAGCCCCAAAACTTTTCTACGGGTTGAGGGTCTGAGAAACAAATTAGCCTGAAGAAGTTAGCGACATGTTCCCCTAGGAAACTCATAGGACGCTCCTACTGACCTTCACATCTCACTCCCTGCCTGATGCGACCAAGCATCAACGACGTACAGTGGGCGCACTTGAGCGGCACGCTGAAGGTGCTGATGACAAACTTGTGCGGCTTGGGTTTGGGCTGGACGGGCATGACGGGGGTGACAGTAGCCACGGGCTTGGGACTTGCTGCCTGGTCGACCTGCTTAGGAGACAAGAGAGATACACTGAGTTTCTAATCACTGATCTCTGTACAGTGTACACTGACTGGTAGTGCCCCTGCCCATTGACGTGCACAAAGATGCGAAGCTGGTTTTCAGTCACTTCAGGGCCCTTCAACATGGCCGCCACTACATAAACCCATGCAGTCACTCATGTCTACATAAAGACGAGTGAATACAGTACAGAGACAGTACTGTATGCCTTTCAGCTCTTCCAAGATGGTACTCTAGTGACTTCAGCTTGTGATCTTAGAGCACTTTCAAGTCATTAAATTAATGAAAAACAGACAAAAAAATCTCCTTTTTGAGGCAAACATTAACCCTAAAGGGACCGTTTTGGGTGTTTTTTTTAATTGGCACACGCATATAGAGCTATTTCATCTGAACACATTCTAAGAATTTGATTTGCATAAGACAAAGTGTTTTTTAATTATTGGCTCACTATGAAATTGTAAGTTAGTACGCTCTTATCACAGCAAGCTGAACTACCCATGTATGGGGAAATGAGATCTCTGTGGTGTGCAGCCTCAAATAATGTTGCGCAGCGTGGTGACTATAAGGTCAATTGTCATAAAGTTTTTATCAAAACGTGCACCAAATTGTAAAAAAAAGGGCAGGGGGGAGGGCAGAATCCGCCCCTCTCGGCCCGGCCATTTAGGGTTACGTGGCAATGCACTAGCATTAGCACTCGGTGAGGTTTAGATATAAATATGTTTACTCATAAAAGATTCAAGGACAAGAGTGGTGGTGGCAGGTGGGTGAAAAGTGGGGGTGGGGAGGGCTCAGGAGGGCGTGGGGAGGCAGGCAGGCAGACTCACCTCATCCTTGTAGGTCTCGGAATACTTCTCTTCATTCACATCATCCTCCTGTCAAGTGTGAACAATGAACGAGGCATGGTCCATGAGGTTTGAAACTTTGAACTTGATCTCATTAAAGGTACTACCTTTGATATCCGGGATAACTTGCGGGAAAACTTTTATCCGCAACAGGCTCATAAAATTGTGTATCAGTTGCGGGAGCTTCCCCAACACTTTATGAAATGAAGTTATGAGACTGATTTACAGGACAGCTGTTTAGAATCCTGCAAATTTGTTTCCAAATGCATTAATTTATTATGACTCCTAATCCATTCTCGCCATTACCGTGACATTTTGGTTCACCGTACCTAGGATACTTCCAAGCCTGAGCACTCATCACACGGACCTTACATTAATTCAATGTGTGTGTGTGTGTGTGCCTTTTGTAAAGCTATGAACACATCACTGAAAGGAGCGTTTGTGTGACTTCTCGTCAAATGCTATTGCGAACATCGCAGTGTTAACGACACTCACATTTGTACAAAGTTACATAAGTATCGGTTAACACAGTGCCCACAACTGCCATGGAGCAAAATTTCCTCTGTCTTTTACAGATGAAACTTTCAAACAAAGAGCATATTGTATCATCATGTCAGTCTTTTAATCTTTATAAAAAAAACCATTAACTTTTAACAAATTTATAATTATATAATGAATTTTGTAAGTACTTGTAATGTATACATGTGGATAGAATATAGAAGCTGGATTAGGATGAATTCCATAATCATAAGTTAAAAAAAAGGGTGATATTTTCTTATTTCAAAATATACCAATTTGTATTCTTTGATGTCCGTGTTGAGAATCTCGTCCAGGAAAGAGAGATGAGATGAGACTTTATTGGCCATGGGTTCTACAACAGAAAACAAACATGATGAAAAAATGAACGTCAAATGTAAATGTAACAGGTTTTTTTTTTGGGGGGGGAACACCTTTGTTCAATTCTGTGATAACTCAAGCAATATCTGTTCCCTACTCTGAGGTAACAGGAAACAGTCTACTTTGCTTTGGTTTGATCGTTAGCCCTAAACCCTGCCTTCCCTGGTTGCACTGATTCCCGCATGCATTCGTATGGGTTAAGATGCACACTACCAGCCAACTGTAATTGTCATGTAGCCTCTCTGCTGTGCTTAACTTGACCCTCTCGTGAGTTTGTGCATGGAGAACATTAGAGTGGTTTTCTACTATTCAAGGCCCAATCTGTCCAAAGCAGGGATGCAGCCGAGTCCATCACAAGTCCATCGCAAGTCCATCACAAGTCCTCCAGTCCCAATTCCAATCACAAGCCATTCGAGTCAGCTTTGACAGAGGCATTTCTTTGTTATTGTTCTCATTCACTGTTACTTGCAAATGGACTTGCGACTCGACTTGTGATTGGACTTGTGAATAGACTTTTGAATGGACTTGTTAACTTGTTGGGGTTTCCTCCAAAATACTTCCTCGTGGAAATATTAACAGGAGGTCCGTCGGGAAGTGGTTTCTTAAGGTTTTACTGGTGGGGCTGATGGAACTGCTGATGCTGCGCTTGAATGAAGCTCTGCTTGGCTGGTAGATAGTTTCAGATTGTAAGTTCCATCTTGTCCATCTACTGCGACTTGTAAATGGACTTGTTCTTCTTGGTTCTTGGTTGGTTCATCTCCTAAATACTCCGCGTGGGAGTGTATACTGGAGACCAGAAACACCGGGGCAAACCCCTTCTCTTAGCGATAAGTGTCACTGGGTTCTTTTACGTGCATTGGATTAGACAACACACGGGACCTACGGCTTTATGTCCCATCTGAAAGACGAAGCAATAATGGTTAAGTGCCTTGCTCAAGGGTACAAGTGTCCACCCAGCGGGCTCTAACCCACGCCACTGTTGCCTCTGAAACACCAGAGCATGAGTCTGGTGTTCTGACACTCCATTGTGACTGGACTTGTGACTGGACTTGTGATGGACCAGACTACATCCCTGGTCCAAAATACAAATCTTTGGAGATTTTTTGGGGACACTCACGTGAGCTGTAATCGTCCAGTTTCTGCTCCATTTCCTTGACTTGTTTCTCCAGCGCTTCCACCTTGTTCTCTAACTCCTTGTTGCGGGCTTCAGCTGCTTTCAACTTCCTGTAAAAGTTACGATTCACCAAAAAGTATTCAGTATTTGACACGTGTGAGTACGTACACAAAAATTCTAGTGAAGAGATACCGAACTGGCTTATTTCTGTCAACAGTTCTTACTTTTCCGCCTGGACTTGATCCGACTTGACTTTTGACAGCTCTTTGTTGATCTGATCCTTGGCGTGGACCTCACTCTGCAGGTTGGACTGGAGATTCAGCAGCTCCATCTTGTCCATCTTCTGCGATCGTCTCGACTGCCAGTCTTTTTGCTGAAATAAAACCAAACAAACAAAATGAAATGTACACATCTTTCTTCAATCCATATGTGAACTATTCTCCTTGACATCGTATTTCCAAGCTTGTAGGGGCGCAGCAACAATGTCACTTTGGTGATACAAACAGTAGAAATATCAACGTTTATCGAGGCTCTTCGGCAGCCTTACTTTTAACAAGACACGGCAAGCCTATAACAGCAGGTCCCCCCAAAAAATTATATTCACTGATTTCAGAATGGCTAAAACCTTTGGAGGATAAATGTAAGTGGTAATCATCATCATCATCGTTGGTTTTAAGGCCGTTGTCCAGTCTGTTCTGGGTTGGCCTGCTTTCTCCCTATGGCTCCTCTCCACTTGGCCCTGTCCGTTGCGTCCGTCGCACTGACTCCAAGCAGACGCATGTCGTCTGTCACAGAGCTCTGCCACGTCTTGCGTGGTCGGCCAACGGGTGTGGGCCCACCCGCTACTATTGATCATGTGAAAATCAACTTTCAAAATTTGCATGGAGACTTGACTCAGTGCCTACACACAGGCATGCAACAGGGAATTTAGACAAAAAGGAGGACATTCCAAACCACAGAAGACTTTGTACAGTGTTTTTTTTCAATTTGCAATGGCATTCATGAGAAGTAAAAAAAAAAGGAAATCAGTGGATCCGAGGAAAAGTTGCATGCCTGTAAACATGTCTCATGAAAATACATGAAACAAGCCGGGCACAAGACTAATGCACATTGTGGTGTAGTTTCTACATGACATATATCATATCGACAAGCCTCGTAAAATTGCCCGCGGATCAGTGTGCAACACAGGTGACTGTCAGTCAATGAGACAAGCAACCAGCGAGCAAACTCAATGGTCGAGTGGTAAAACGTCTGCACAAGTACCGTAATTTTCGGAATATAAGCCGCGCGGCGTATAAGCCGCAGCACGCAAAAATCTGCAAATTAAGATTTGAAGTCGGCGTATAAGCCGCACCGGCGTATAAGCCGCACCGACCGCTGCGGTTTCAATTTTGTAAGGCCTCCAAATTCTAGTCAAAATGCTCTGAACCAGTTCCATTTACACTACAGAAGCTATTAAAGGACCACAAAAGTTATATCAAATCATTTACAATCGATACTTTTACAAACAAATATGGGAATTGATGAGAAATAAACACCGGGAACTGCTGCCGGCTGCCCCGTCATTGCCCGGCAGCCTGCGCCACGCACGCCGGTGAATGACAACATTTTCCCACAGCACGTGACAGAGTATGAAACCCACCGTGTGTTGTCTGACTGGAGCGCTACAAATCTTGCTTTGTGGCAACAGATGCTGATTTGTTTTGTCCTAAAGAATAAACAGGTCCGTTTTTACCTCAAAACTTATCAAAACTTATCAAATTGTTGCGATTACTGACGAGTAGCTGCGATAAAAATTCAAGTTTCGATCGTAACTTTCTTCGGAAATAGTCAAAACGAAGCGGACATTTTAATAGACGAATCCATTAATTTTGTAAGGGGTGATTTAGTCCCTCTTTTGAGTTTTACATCGTTTCTTGAATACATTTCAAGAAAACAAAATATATTGTGACGTTGAACAACTGATTATGTAATAAAAAAATGTTTCGAACGCCATAAACATTTTAGTCGTCTTTTTTTTTTTTTTTTTTCAACAGCGGAAATATTGGTAATTATTGTTCCCAAGAAAGAACACCCCTTTATTACCACAAATGGTGTGGTCCGCTGGGGGGAAAGCATGCTGCATATCGCTGCTGCACTGTACCAGTATCACGTACGGCTGGTTGCAAGTGTCGAAGACAACTTTCATCACCGTACTTTTTACCGCTCGGTACCTTTACGTGAGACGTGGTTTCGGTTTGTTAATGACTTTCTTAATTTATAATTCATTTCAGCAACATATCTCTTCTTATACCAGTACATTAAATACACATGTGAATCTTATTTTTATTCTTCAAGGCTCGGCGTATAAGCCGCCCTGTGTATAAGCTGCAGTAAACATTTTCATGGGCAAATTCAACGTATAAGCCGCGGCTTATATTCCGAAAATTACGGTAAGCAGAAGGATGTTGGTTCGAGTCACACCTGAGAAAGCTTGTGAATTTTGGAGTGTATAGCATTCATGCAATATCAGGTCGGTGGTGGGTAAAACCTTATATAAAATTTCATTTGAATCTTTATTTATAATTATAAGAAATCCCCTCAATATAGTTGGGAGGGGACATTTCCTGGAGTGAGAGTTAGGCGAGCTCACCCTTGCGGCACCCACGAGTCCTGATTTCTTGACTCCTTCCAGCTCTTCTGTCATCTTGAGGGCCAGGGCCTGCAGATAGCCCCTAGCATCCTTCTCATCACTCACCCTATGGAAACAAAATGGAAAGTTAAGTGCTGGATGAACCAACATTATTATATTTAGAGGTCTACAGGATCATGTGCTTTTTGTGCATGTCTGTTTTCATTTGAAGCAACAAAATTGCTCGATATTTGACAGATACACTAAAGATGTAAATAGGTCATACGTAGATACGTGGGAAAAAAAAGGCATTATCGTCTTTTTCTTCCAACAACTGCCAGTGAATTGTATCACCTACCGGTATGCTCTCTCCGCCATCCTCAAGATAATCATCATGATTTTTAAAGCATTGCATTTTGAACAACTAAATCTGAAACCTCCGAAAATCGCACATGTTGGATTTTATCCATTAGGCCAAAAAAAATAAGTCTCCGGTTTCTGGTATGCGCGCGCGTCGCCGTAGCCATGCGCATCGGCAAAATGAAAAAGGTTTTTTTTCAATGAAAGACGATGGTCTCAAAACCGCCAAACTCACTGGTTTGACTGGAATCCTGCGTGTTTTAACGTGTTTTTAGATGGGGTTATGATCGAGAATAAGCTTTGTGTGGCCTCTCTGGACTCCCATAATATTTGCACTAAGTTTAGTCGGGCACCATTTGCAGTCATCAGCCGACATTTGAAGCAAAAAAGTCAGGTAAAAAAAAAAAAAAAAGCCACGTCGCCGCACCACTTTTTGGGCAAGCTCCATACCAGAAACCGGAGACTTTTTTTGGGCCTTAGAACATTTATGTGGCTACCCGTACCCGGCCGGCCATGACTGTGCTAGGCCGGGGCGGCGTAGTACGTACATATGGTGGTACCGTACCGTTGCATACCATGTGTGCCGTGCATGCATGCACCACACATCCGAACAGTGTTGGCCTAGGTGTTCTACCATGGAAACACTCCATTTATGACTGGCGGAAGAGATTAAAACTTTGCTTGCGAAAATGTTTACGTGCCATTTTCATCGACTTGTTCATCGTTTTTTCTTCAAAATTATAATTTAAACAAAATCACACATTGTGGAGAAATCGTTAAAAAAAAATCACATTTTGTGGGACAAATCATAAAAAATCAGAAGTTTCGTTGGAAAATCAAAAAGTCAGTTTTCCGATTAAAATCGGAAAAGTTTCATCTCTGAGCTTTGGTTTTGTTTTTCTTGTCTGACTTACCACTGAATGAGTTCACTAATCTGGGCCTCCCAGATCGGCATTTTGTCTTTATCTGACATCTCCCTCAGTTCCTCTTCACGAATCTTCAACTCCCGACACTTGTTGTCATAGTCAGTGGACATCTATGGGGAGAAAAAAGTTCAAGATTTTCTGGTTAACTTTGGGGTAGAAAAACCAAGACTAAGAAAGCGTGGCAAAGCTGGACCCAGAGTGCACAAAACTCTATTAAACAGACCGATCCATTACAGACTCTTAAGCAGACCCAGGTGAAAAAGTAGAACAATGGGACCAAAACTTTCCAAAAAACCAGGAGAAATGTAGGACTTTGGATGACCAAATCAGGATAAAAGTAGGACTTTTGCAGGATTTCAGGATTAGTTTTCGGTGATACTCACCCATGTCCACAACATCATAAGCCTCATTTGACATGTTCTGAACTCAAAACACTTGTGCTCCATCCTCAACTAAGTGCTTGGAAGTACAGTTGCAGTACTCCTGTGCCCAAGCCCTTCATTGTGTGATTTAAATATGACAGTGTGTAACACTATTATGAAAAATATTCAATGAGATTTCATTTTTCGGAGTTGTGGGATGAAACAGTTGGAAAAAGTAGGAAAAAAGTAGGAATTTCAAGAAAAAAGTAGGAAACGTAGGAGCTAGATAAAAAAAAGAACAGCAAAAAGTTGGAAAAGTAGGATTATTTGAAAGCCTGCCATTAGGCCCTGCCTACTTGCAATATCAGATGGGCCTCTTCCATGTCACACTGTACGTTCCAGCTGCACACGTCATACACACATCAACCCATGTCCAACTTTTCTGCATGTATGTCAGACGTTATCACGTATCCATTCGGATGTGAAACCTCTCTTATAACATGTCCCTGGTGTATAGAATGCTTGCACATAAAAATAAGCACACTTCCGATAAAAACATCAAGTTAGGCATCTGTGATGGGCTTGACCTTATTACCTTATCTACTTCCAGAGTGAGTCTCCTATTCTCCTCATCCAGCTGACTCTTCTCCCTCTCCAGCTTGCGTCGCAGTGACTCCAAGTCATCCTGCTGAGACTGGGAGCTGGTGGTCTCCCTGCTCAGCTTGTAGTTCAAGCTGCTGACCTCCCTCTTGAGGCTGATGATCTGCTGCTCATTCTCTGATATCGTCTCCTTCAAGCCCTAGGGAACACAAGCGAGAAAAATCACAGAATGTCTGAATACAAAAGCTGACAATTGCGACATTCACAGCTTGAATATCATGGAAGAAAATGTATTAGGCCATACTTCTGGTAGCCAAAGAATTTTGCTTGACCAAGGGGAGTCTTGAGGATCCCCTTGGCCCAAAACAGTGCGAGGGCGGTTTTGGGGCAGTACCGGGAGTAACAGGCAGGGCACTTTGTAGAGGTACAGGACTAATGTATATTGAATTTGTAAGACGTAAATGGCAAGACCGCAGACTTGTTAGTCCTGGAAATCACGAGAACAGCACTCACACTACTGAACTATGTCTAGCAGTCCAGTGGATGTTTCAGGCCCTTTAATCAAAAAATCCACTCATAAGGTATGCGGTGCATTCTCCCCACATCCCCCCCCCCCCCAAAAAAAATATTGCCAAAATCCCTCATTACTTCCCGAGTTGCAGCTACCTGCAATATAACTAGGTTCGGGTGTCGAAGATAGGTTCAATACAAAACCATGCACTGATCATCTGATAAATTTCACCAACTTTTAGTACGCTCCGAATATGACGTCATGGCACTACAACTGAGCCGCCCAGACATTGGGTGTGTGTGTGTAAATAAACAGACTAACTTAAAGGGCATTTTTTTAATATGACACACATCAAAATTTCCCATCATTTATCCAGGGCTTTGAAAGCCACAATGGAAACATGATCCTTTCCAGAATTTGTAAAGACCTAAAGAAAAAGAAAATCAAGGACTATTCAGGACTGATATGATTCCAGATTCTGACTCGGGACTTACCTTTTTTGCGATGACACAAATCAAAATTTCCCATTATTTTTACGGGACTTCGAAAGACACAAAGGAAACAATACACTTTCCAGGATTTTCCAATGGATTAAATAAACACAAGGACTATTATGAACTGATATGATTCCAGGGCCCAATTTCAAAGTGCATGCTTAGCAGATGATTTTCTGCTAACAGAGCCTCCATATATCTCACCGTAAAGACTTACCTTAGAGGAAAAAAAGTGCTTAAATGAGTGACCAGAAATCTTCATGCCTGCGCAACCGTTAGCAAATCCACTCCATGAAATAGAGGAAGGTAAGCACATTTTTCTGCGACAGTTAGCACAACTGTTCTGCTTACTGTCTAGCAGCGCTATGAAACCGGACCCAGATTCTGACTCCCCCCCCCAAAAAAAAATAGGGACTTACTTTTTCTTCGATGGTGTGTCTTGACTTCTCCTTGGACAGCCCCTCCTCGTAGGAGGATCGTTTCTTCTCAAGCTCCGCCTTCAGTCTGGTGATTTCTTGCTGTTTAGGGTCGTGGGTGCTGGACTGTAGATCCACACGGCCACGCTTCTGCCAATGGATAGGAAAAAGAACAAACTTAGAGGCTGGGGGTGGGGTGAGCAATTTGGATGACAATTGTTGACTGAGTTAACTTGTCAATATCATTTAGTGATTTTCTCTATAAACCATGACCATTTTGTTATGGAGAATGAAGTTTCTTGTTTTCCCAAGACCATCCACCATTTGCCAACCATTTTTACTGACCCTGTGATGTTCACATTATTTGCACATTTATATAAAGCATATAACTTTTTCTACTTCTTCTTCCAGTTGGTAAATGGGGGGTGGGGGGGGGAACATTATTTGCACCTAAATGTCAAAATCTTTGCCCGTCCATGAATTCAGCTCATGATTTTTCAACAATAACAGGATCATCCAAATTCTTCCATCTACATGTACATGCACTTTAAAATTATTCACTTACCCTGACTCTTTCCAGTTCTTCTTCCCGTTGCTTGACCGACTGCTCACTCTGTTGCCTCAAAAACTTCTCCTTATTGAGCTCGGCTAGTTTCTCATCCAAGTCAGTCTCGAGCTGTTGTTAAAAAAAAAGCCAAAGGAAATATTTACCAAATTCCGCTCAGGAAAAGAGAACAAGAACATGACGAATGCTGTGGAGTTTTGAATGGGAAATGCAGCAGGGCAATATCATTTGCCAAAGTAGACGTCAAGCATGTGGCTAACAAGGTAGACTATATGAAAAATATGTCCTGCTTTTAATGATGACTCAGAAATTTTTGTATATCACGTTTCATAACAAGCACAGAAGCAAAAATCGTTCACTATTCCCTTCAGCTTTTTTCTTACGACATGCTAGCAGACAATCGAAGTGTATACCTGCCTCCAATATAATATTAAACAGTCAGTTATATATTACAGACGTGGCATACTGTTGGATTTTGTTGGATCCAGCAGGGCTAAGGTTAAGTGTCATCTTTCCTGTGTGTCCACGCTCAGCACCCGATTTCACTGCGACGCGTCGCAACTCAAGCTACGACGTGTAACACGTCGCAACTCGCGACGCGTCATATCATCCATTTCACGAAAGTTGCGATGTGTTAAACGCGTCGTAAGTTCCTTGACAACGGCTTAACACACGTCGCAAGTTACGACGTGTCTAGGGTCATCGCAAAATAAGAAGAGTCCCTTTCTAAGCCAGTTTAATGCCATAAACATTACAAAAGCGAGATTATAATACCGAGGCAATGTGTACAAAGTTGTAAATAGAAAAATCATTGAATAATAATGAATTAGACTGGAATATTGCATATTTCAAAGTAGCCATACCGTCCACTGATAGCTTGTTTTCCTTCAAAATTGTATTGCATGGCCACCATTTGGTTTTACGTTTTAACAAATTTCGAGCTGAGATCCGACGACTCTTTGTTGAATATCAGCCGACTATTTACTGTACGCTGACTAAATACATAAAACAGTCACCGAGTTGTGCTATAAATACACCTACGACGCGTCGCACTTACGACGTGTTTCGTGAAATGGATCGCAGGAGGCGTCGCAGGTGCGACGCACCGTAGGGATACGACGCTTCACAGCGCTGCGATGCATCGTAAGTTACGAAGAGTTTGATGAAATCGGGTGCTAATGCGTCTCCACATTCAGAAACACGCTGTACAGATTTGTGAAAATGTTGCTGAAAATGTTGCTGTGTGCAGCACACTTCTTGCCAGAACCAGTAAGCACACGCAAGGCGTCCTTCAGTGGCTGTCATGAGTACGCCAACAACACCATACACATTTTCTCAACGACAGATCCGTAGAAACCAGGGCCCAAATTCATGACTCTGCTAACCACAGAATTCTGTGTTTACAATCGCCATTATGTGCTAACTGCACAAGTAAAAACATTCTATGCTGACCCTTCAAGCACAGAATAAGTTACGAAATCCACGCGCGCAAGCCAAAAACTTGTTACTAACCCATGAAATATGCCAACAGTAAGCCTGGAATTTTCTGCTACAGTAAGCGGGATTTTTTCGCTTATGGCAAGCAGAGCCATAAAATTGGGCCCACTGCATGCACCAAAGTACTGTACACTCACAGAGGCCAAACTTATGATGACAGTGCTAATGTTGAAAGCTACTGTACAAAGTAAACATTCTATGATGGTCAGAGTGAAATATAACAAGGCTTCTGCCATTGAATGGGGCCTCTCTGAGCGTATGGTAATTGGTTCTCTATAATTATCACTGACCTCTTTTCTGACTTTGTCAGCTTTGCGAAGATCTAGCCGTTGGACTTCCACCTTGTGACTCATGGCATCGTATTCCTCCTCCCTGTCACGCAGGTCACGGGTCAGTTTCGTCTTCTGTGACCTCACGTCTGATAACCTAAACAAGCAAATCACCGAAGTTTTTAAATTACCAAGGTTTGTTTTATTCAATTCATCTTGCAATAAAAAAAATTAAACAAAGTCTTTCTCGAGCCACTATAACTCGTCAGCAAGACTTTTGTTGGCATGGAACATCTGAGGATATTTTATTTTCCCCAGATAGGATGCCAGTGCATTGCAAGTTAATCTCCAGCTAATGCTGGTGCCATGTTCCCAGTTACTGGATTCGAACCCCTGCCCCTCTGTCTCCAGTCAAAACCCCCACCACTAGGCTACACTCCCCTTGTGAATGCAAAAAGTGAAAGAAACACCAATCGTGTCAGGCGGTTTCTTTTAATAAACAAGTAAAAACAGTCAATATTTGTACAATATCAAATCAATTCATTTCGAAAGACATTAACACCTATTTTATAAAAAAGAAGAAGAAAAAAAGGGCATTGGATTCGTGGTATGCAGGAGAAAGCTGCGTGTTGTGGGTTTGAGTCCAGCTTGGTGTTATGGTGCGTGTGCCCTTGGGCAAGGCACTTTGTCGCGCATTGCTTCTCTCCGCCTAGGAGTAAATGGGTCCCTGCCAAGGTACGGGCCATATGCGCTGATATTGAACTGCTGCAGATGAACAGGGGTAATAATTGTAAAGCGCTTTTGACACCTTTGGTATAAGGCACTGTATAAGCACCACATTATAAGCTTCTATTTTCTGCTATACCTTTCATTGATCTCTGAGAATTCCTGCATGGTCAGCTTGTACTGTGACTTGGCCTCCTTGAGTTCTTTGCCCTGTTGTTTCAGCTTCTCCTGCAGTTCTATTTGCTCTCGTTGAAACTCCTCCCTTTCTGCTTTCAGAGTCCTTTTTTTTGGGGGGGGGAAGGATTGAAAAACATAAACTATGAGTAACATTAACAACTGGTTTCATGCCGAGACACATTGGTTAACTTGAAAGAAGGGTTTTAAAATGATGAGAAGATCAAAACAGACTATGCTAATTACAGTGAGCCATAAAGACTCAAGTCAGGACGTCAATGCACAATATTGTGAACTGCAATGCTTTCTTTCCTTTCACAGAACCCATCATTCATTACCCCTGACTGGATAAGCCCAGTCAGGAAAAACAATGCAAAAGATTGGATGTTACACACTTTGTGGATCCTATAAATGGTGCTCGAATGTACTGTATTCATGTTTTCATTTGAGGTCAATTTGCCGCTCTATTGCATATTTTGTCAACAGCTTTGTTTCAAGTACCTGTTTTGTTTCTCTAGTTGCCTGATCTTGGAGTTTTTATCCTCATCGTCTTTTCTCATGCCCAGGGCCTCTTGTAGCTCTTTCTCCAGATGATTGTTGGCCATTTGGGCATCTGCGACAAAAATGATAAAATACAACTTTTGAGTTTTTGATGGCAATTTGCACAAAACTTTAGGGAAAAAACCACAAGAAAATACCTTCCATAGAGTAATACAAATAGAGAACTTGTGGCAATTGATATTAATTGCAGACAGATAGCGTGAAAAAGAAGAGACAGGATTAACACAGTCAAGAATGGATAATCATATCAAGTAGTTGAGCTAAATTAGAAAAAGTCAACAGCAAAAATACACTGCACAGAAAAATACAAGAATAAAAATAACAGTGGCTTTAAAGTTTGGAAAGCCAAAAACCAATTACGTAGGCTTACATACAGTGGGGTTACAATAAATACACAAATATAAAATAACACAATAGCCAAATTACACAATAAAATTATAGGCAATTATAAAAAAATATCCCATATCAAAATACCAAAATCATACTGACTGCCCTCCCTTTTTCCATTTTTGGAAAGTGCGTTGACTTCTTTTTTTCTGACAATTGCCATTCTGTCACTGATGTCAGATGGGAAAAAATCCCTGTGACCATGATGACAAAATAAAATGATCTCACCTGACATCTTCTTTGATAAGAGCGCTATCTCATCCTTGAGATGCTTGACTTCGTTGTTTTCTGCCCCTACCGAACCCCCACCTCTCTTCGCTGTGTCTAAAATTCCAAGAAAACGGAATATCAGTCAACCAACGCAATACTGCATCAGTCAAGTGGTGATCAAACTGCTATGAATGTTTATGCTTATGGACAAAATTCAATTTTTTTTGGGGGGGGGAGGGAAAAAGTTTAGTTCATATCAAATACAGAAAATACAAAACAAGAAACCGTAATAGAAACTAAAGCATTGATTTTAGGAGAGAAAACAAGACAATGCCAACATTTCTTGATCAAAGTTGTACTTTGAAGAGAACAGCCACGGATCTTCACCAAACAGCTGAGAAAATTACAAGCAATTTGTAATTTTTGTTTTATTTTATTTCAAGTTGGGATGACATATAGGGGACGTAAAAACCGAAGAAATTAGTTGATTGAAGGAAAAACACCATGCCTGGATTAAGTGACAGTCATTTGTTTAATTTCTGAATGACAAAGCCATGTCTTCTTCCAATCAGATTCTCCTCTCATCTTTCCCTTACCTGACAACCTGTGGCTCAATGTGTTCTTCTCAGACTCTAGCCTCTTGATCCTTCTCTCGTAGGCCTCTGCCGAGACGCTGTCCACTCCGTCTGATATGACGTCATCCTTGGCTTCCAACAGCGAGCCCATGTCCGACAGGCAACTTAAAAATATAAACAGATAAAGTATACTTACATTTTCTTTCTTGCACCTTTTCCTCAGCCATAATTTTATAAGAAACCTTCTTTTAGTGGATTGCCAGCTTATCCTACTAAATTACATGTGCACTGTAGTTCACGAACCAGTAGTCTTCACCAGAATTTTCATTCATGGTGAGGGAACATTAAATAGTGGGTTTAGACAAAGTTGAAAGACAGGAGTTGGGAAAGTCAACATGATAACTGCAGTGCAGTATTTACTGTTCACTGAAGCACAATTTTGCAAAGTGGAAGAAATTTTAAATTGTTCTAGTTGGGTATCCTTGGTTGCAGCGTCTGGCCTTGTGGGCTGGTGTGTCAAGTTCAGAATAGTTAACATTTAAAAACACAATGTTTAATGTGGAATTGTAGCATCAAACTGCATACGCTAAAAGATGGTCTTCAGAGTGTTTATTGGACCCGTTTGCCAACACCAGTTCAGCAACAGAGTAAGTACGTGATTGGGGCTGTCACCACAGCAACAAGATCATACACAAGCAAAGATGACAGCCATTTCCTATGGTATAGTCCATGCCTCAACAGCTGGATTGGTTGCTGTGCATTAAGCAGGATCTGTTATCAGGGATCGTTAATAAAACTTTGATGGCAAATACTGATAGATATGTGCACTCCATAAATGCACACCAATTGGTAAAATTACGCCACCTAGTGTATCATTTTAGGAATGCAATGTATCTTTCTTTTCTATTAAAAGAGGAAAGCAAATCTTCAATTGTATGTCTTTACCTGTTCCTTGTAAATGAAAAGCCTACAAATGGGAGGTGGTTGCCAGTGAAGGCTGCGTGAGTGTTGGGCGGTACAGTCTCAGACTGCTTGAGATCCGTCTCATCCACGTCAAAGTTGGAGGTATCGGTTGGGCTTTTGACGTCTGGTTTGTAAGGTGGACTCACTGAAAAACAAGACAGCAAAAAGCAATGAGATAAGAGGTAGGACAGGTATTCAGGAGAGACATAACAGAGAATGAAATCAACAGATGTATTTTTGACATTTGCTGGGGTTTTTTTTTTTGCCATATGTTTGCCATATTTTCCATGTTTTTTGCCATATTTGCCACAATAATTTGAACGAAATTTTTATAATATCTCAGTAAAGTGCTTGACAATTTGCCCTGCTCTTTACACCAGGTATCTATCTCCTTACTTTCCCTGATGTTAATCCAATCGATGCCAGTGAAGAAGGGATGGTTCTTGAAGTCTTCCAGTCCGTTGATGCCCAGCCGCTGATCAGCGTTGCAGATCAACTTCTTGATGAGGTCCATGGCTTCGTCGGACACGTCGTCGATGTCAGGCGGGAAAACAAACTGGTCCTGGAGGAGACAAACAATATCAAATCATGTGTTAAAACCACCCAGCAACAAAACCTGTGTGTTCATGTAGTCCGGCAAATGTCTTTTCTTTGTAAACATCAAGACTTCAGTGGATTTATTACTTATTTTTTTTGTTTTTTCATCATTCTGATAAAAACCCATTTATCAAATGTTGTTAAGTCTTGATTTTACGTTTGACTGTTTGTTTGCCTAACATAATATAATTCATTCATACATTTATTCTTAATTGTTTTTTAGCTTGACACATATTCAACAGGAGTTGTTAAGGTGAGCAATTAATGTTTCTAGGTTTACCCATTTTTATTAGTCACTGATGGCAAAGGTAGAGTCAAAATATTCTTTCTCAAATGTGACCTGTTCTGTCAAAAGCAGACGCTTCTGGGCAGAGGTTGAAATTGAGATAGGGCCAAAAAACGCCTAAAATATATTATAAAAGTTTGAAATCCTAATTTGAACTCTACATATACTATTTTTGATGATTTTGATAAGGTATATCAGTTAAAGAAATAACTGTTTTGTGATGTTCGTGGCCATTTTCTACGTACATGTATTCTACTTTTCGACACAATGAAATTCAAAATAGCATAACTCTGCCCAGGAATGACCGGTTTCAAAAATTAAACCACCAATTAAAAGGAAAAAGAACATATGTTAACAATATGTAAAAATATCATTTTCGACCTTATGCCCAGAAAAGTCCGATTTTGACAGAACAAGTCACAAATGACAACGAAAGCTTCATAAATGACCATTAAAGCGCCTAAGTTAGGGCAGGTGCAGTCTAAAGCTATTTCACCTTGTCACCCCTACATGTATGTCAGTAAGATTTTGAACCATTTGCAGTGAAGTAAAATATGGCAAGTTTGTGGTACACCAAAATAGGTGGTTCGGAGAGAAATCAGTGGGAAAACACAAGAGACGTTTTAGTGAGTATGCTTTAAAATCGTCATAAAACACGTCTCATTACCTTCAGTTCTGAATATGATCTGATCACACGATTTAAAGAGTAATTCATCCATAACATCTTCTCAGAACCACCTTTATTTAACATCTCAACAGCCATCTTTCCACGAACCTTCCATATACATGTACATGTATCTATCATTTTCAATTGTTGCAACTCTGCCTTGGTTTTGCCTGCCATGGTCACAATGTGGCTCTCACGCTTTTAACAACTCGGATGAATTTAAAAAAAAAAAGTTTCCAAATTATTATAGTGCAGTCATCACCTCTTTGGATTTTTGACCAAATAAAGGTTTTTTTTTCCCACAGCAAGTGAATTCTCTTTTTCACATTTAGCTTACAATTCCTCTACCCTGGCCTTTGGTATTGCATCTATAGGCCCTATTTCTTTAAAACGGTTATGGAATTTTTGAGCAGAAAGGCAAGTTTACATTTGGAATAATGGAATACAAATGACAACCTAACCACAAGCAACAACAAAAAGTACGCATAATCTAAGGATAGACCAAGATGAAACCTAATGCCTGTGTGAAAATTATGCCAGTCTTTAGCATGATGCTTGCTAAACGGCCCACCCATGCATTAACATGCAGTCTGGATATCTATTTCAGAGCTTCACCGTTTCCCCGCAGAAGCAAGCAGAACAAATAGGCCAGTGTCTACTGCACATAAAAGCATCATTATGGGACTCATTGGGTTTCTGAGAGGCCAGTTCTCACTTCTTTTGCCAGTCAAGATACAGTGGTTTCCCCATTTAAAAAAACTCATCGTTCATTTTGAGATCAATCCTAAAGTTTATTTCAACCATTTGACCAGTGCACACAGATCTGTTTTCCTACATGTACAGTATTTCATTAGGCGAAGTAAAAAAAAAACATTTTTCTCGTCCCCGCCCGCTTCCTTTTTGGAGGCCGCCTGGATTTTTTTATTATTTTTTATTTTTGAAAAATGCAGTAAAAAAACACTGAAAAAGTCCACAAATTCATCGGAAAATAAATTGTAGACCAACACAAGTTTAAATGACACTGTAAATACAGTATGTTCAGTTCTCTTGTCCAACTTATCTTTCATTTTAAAAGTGTCTTTGAACAGTGGAAACACCAACGGTTGCAGGAAATTTTTACATGACGGCCATCTTGAAACAAATAAAAAATAAATTAAAAGCCCCGCTTCCTTCTTTTTTTCAAAAACCCGGACGAGAAACATGTTTGTTTTTTTTACTTGGCCTTACGTGGATTAGTATATAATGTAGTGCATGTACAATGTGTTAATTACAAACTGATGCAATTTTTTTTTCCCTTCATGAACAGTGTAGCTCAGTAGTACGATTTAAATAAAGTCCCCTCAGATGGGGAACGTACACGTTCCTTCATACCACATGTAGTGGTGGAACTTAAATTCAGATTTTTTAACATTCAGTTTGAATTTGGCTATTCGGTTACGATTTTAGAACATATATTCCAAACCAAACTTCATACAAAATTAAGCCTACCATTTTTTGTGACACAAGCTAAAGAAAACAACTGGAACATCCCCAATTTGCTCATTGGTCTCTGATTGTAGCTGCATTCACTGATAGTGGTCTTCTTGTATATGTATAGCCTGCCCATTCGACTTATCAGACAGTTCCTACCAATTCTTTTCAACATTACAGCTCTGGAGTGTTTTTGTACAGGCCCAGTGGTCATTGAATCCTGCAAACTATACCCAGTCATTGGGAGGGCATTTCACGTGGCAACTCACTCGCCATTTTTTGTTGTGCATGACTGTGAGCTGGATGGGAACTTCCTGTTAAATCAGACAACTGTAATTCGATTTGAAATAAATTAGGATACCCGGATTTACAAATCTCCAATTTTTCCCACCACTACTTCATGCTAATGTGTAAAAAAAAATAGGAAAAATGTTATTTTGTCCCGATCAACTGTTCAGAAATCAGCTACGTTCTGAAGTTCACAGCATACCGGTATGTCCTTCCACACATCATGAGTCATACATGTACCGGTACTTAACTTTAAACACAGACATTAATGTGAGAAGTCATAGCCGGCGGTGGGAACATGCATAATGCCAGGCAGAACAGCTGTGGACACGTCTTCCTCAGATTTTTTTAAGTGTGCAGTGTAAACAACATTTTCTCCTGCTGATATTCCAAGAGGTGCAGATAGAGTCAGCATGAGAAATTCTTTTTTGTGAAAGTTTGTATTACGCATGCCCAGAACACTGTGTTTTATGCAAATGTCCAATTGTCTATATTATAGAGTACCGAAGTGAATACATCACGCGCACAATGCGCGCGTAAAAGACATTAGCCCGTGATTCAGCCCGTGAACCAATACGCGCGCGTACTCCATTCGTTTGCACTACACTTTCTGGTTCTCAATGACGTTACACTTCGGTACTCCATACCGGTACGTTATATACAAATGATCAATTCATGTTTACGTACAAGTGTAATTTGCACCTGTGATAAACTCCTACCAGTACATGTAAATACCAAGATGTGGTACGTGTAAATTTGTGTAATTATACACGTCAATAGGTGGAAAGGTGGATTTGGGCTATCGCCCGATCGTGCAGAATGCGTTTGCACGATTGACCGATCCTTAAGGAAATCTCAGACTTTCACTTCCCTTTTCAAAAACAATCCTCCAGAGCCATGACCAAGAACGGCAAGGTGATCGACCGATGGCAGCGCGATCGACTACAGCCAGAACGATCAACCCATAGCGCAGCGCAATCGACTGATAGCGCGGTGTGATTGACCGATAGCACAGTGCGATCGGACAATAGTGCAGATCAACTGATCGCACCCAACAATATTTTTCAGCAATGTGTGTACTACGTGAACCTTCCCCATCCCCCTCTCCACATGGCGCGACTCCAATTGATTTCTGTTTTCAATACATTTGAAACCAAATGCCCCTCTTTTTATATTTGATCAGTGCATTTTGCATGCAAAAGTAAAACACATAGTCACAGTGATATTGATGCAGCTCCGTCTTCCAATGTAAACACATGCACTGAGGTTTGCACTAGCAATTTGCATGCAGGTCCCCATCAGACCTCTGACAATGAGACTAACAAAAAAGACCCAATGTGCTTCATCCTCAGTGTTAAACAAAAATCGGATCAGATTTCCGCACCAGCCGAAACCCTAGATCAGACCTTGTACAGAGAACTTTTAAGAAAATATCTTATTGATTGTGCTTGGCTTCTGGTCAGCAAATTATGCTCGTGCTTTTTTTTAACAAACAGAGGACGGGGGATCGGGTTGAATGTAACCAGTGAGGTGGAAATAAGTAACACAAACACAGGGTCAAGAAATTAGACTGACACAGAGAAATGCAACGATCGATAGGTCCAAGATCTATAAGGTTCCAGATTTCAAGGCACAAAAAAAGAATATGATTTGTGTAGCTTTGTGGTGTGTGAGGCACTGTATTCACAACACTCCACTTTTTTTTTTTTTGACTGCAAATGTTCTCTACAAAATATTGCCTAATCAAGTCAAACAGTATTTCATAAACAATTCTACATCATTTCTATAAAAATCTGCATGGCTATGAGATATTATGTTTATTTTGTTAATATTCAAGTTTTTATGTCCTCTTTTTTTAGCTACAGGATAGGAGCTCAACAAATTATCATGTCTCTCTGTTAGTCCATTAGTTAGTTAGTTAGTAACAAACGTTGACATTGTCTATTGCTCCTACATATTTTGACAGATTTCAACTAAACTTTGTCAAAAGTATCAGTAGCCCAGACCCAACATGTCACATGATCAAACTGGGGTCAAAGGCCATAATGAGGTCAATGGGGTCAAAAACCTGATTTTTTTTTACTCAAAACACTAGTCCTTCCAGAAATTACATGGCACAATCATGTGACTATGCATGAAAACGAATTTGTCTGCCCGCAGCTTCCCAGACATTTTTGATCGAGCTTGTTTTCAAACTATTCATTCAATTTTAAGTATGAATTCATTTATCAAGTATTTTAATACTGCAAAGTGATAGACGTGGACTTAAATAAAATAATGTACGTATTTATTTATACAACCAAACACACCAGATATGTGTACATGTACTCCCACTTTCATACAAGTCCACTCTACAGGGGTTTCTCTCATTTTTAAATTGGACTTCCTACCTTGTGGTTCATAATCTTGCTGTATGTCTCCACCAGTGACTCTGCGTAGAACGGCGTCTCACCAAACAGCATTTCAAACATACAGACGCCTAGTGACCACCAGTCACATTCTGGCCCGTATCTCCCTTGACCGTCCTCCATTGCCTGAAAATAACCACAAAAGTTCCAATTTCTGCCGATAATCTATTTCAATTTGTGGTGCTGAATTTGTTGGTTTGATTTTTTTTTTGGGGGGGGGGGTGATCAGTTTGATTGATTGATTTTTTTTCTTCACAAAGAAGCATGCTCTCTTAAATATAATGCAAACATTCATTAATCCTAACCGCCTGGGTCCTTTTGGTTAGGACTCATCCTCAATCCTTCAGAATCCTCCAACTGCCATCAAAGAAAAACTGGATACAGCCTCAATACTCCAACATCTGATACTTCTTGCATTTATTCAGTGGAGGGGTGACATCTGCCTCAATCCTTCACAAGTCCTTATTGTGATACAATGAGAATTTGCTGATGATGTCCAGAAGCAGTTCGGATGATATCTAGTTTAATCTAGGCGTAAGTTATGCATGGTTAAGCCAAAAACAACGCAAGGTGCAGCTTAAGACCTTGACACAATGCATCCCCAAAATCAGTTGGCCCTGAAATGGCATACAGCCTCAATACTCCGAAATCCTCCCAAACCAACTGGTTGATTTTGGAGGATTGAGGAGGGTTAGGGTCATAGGACTGATCATTCTGAAGTAGAACATTGACCCATATTGAGTTTGAGCTCTTCAAGTCAGGGGTTCGAAAGACTCCAGAGTCAGAGCTGAAGGATTAAAAAAACTTTCAAAGACTTACCCTGAGAATCTCAGGCGAGATGTAATCAGGTGTACCAACAGCGACATTGGACTGTACCTACAAACAGATAAAAAAAAAACATAAACACATTATTAAAAAAAAGTCATAATACTTTAAAACTGAAGATAAAAATACCAACAAATTGAAATTTTCTTTTAAACTTTTTTTTTAACAATCTGTTTGATGCATGCATTGAGCACAAAATAAGCCGATAATTCTCAAAGAACCTGTTTGGAAGAAGACCCCTAAAAGCTCTCAAATGCAATAATCACAACATATATCATATGTAATTTGCTAGCAAAAATAGTGAAAAAAATATGTATTGAAAGGCACTACGTAAATTTCTCCTGGTCAAGTTTTTTTCCCTCTAAAATTATTATTAGTCTTAGATCTAGACTCAGAGTTCAAACAAATCATTACAGATTTGTTAGCATTTGGCATGGTTTTGGATTAATTTATTCCAAATTTGATTGCAAAGTATGATTACATGAGCATTTTGTCAATTTCTTAGTTACTTTTTCTGTTCCAGTTTTTTTTATTTCTTAAAATTTTTTTTTTTTATTTTCTTTGTTGTTTGGTTAAATTGTTAATTTTATTTTATTTTATATTATTATTATTTGGGGGGGGGGGGAATTTAGGTTTGGATATGGAGAAATAAGCCTACATCCGATAACTTGGCTATGGCTAGTAACTCATGTGTTTATGGACAGTGGCTACAGCCACTTCCATAGCCGCATGTGCAATTGCAAGCCAAACCGAAGTAATTGGGATGCAGCTTAAGCCTTACCGAGCCATCCTCCTGCATCTTGAGACAGGAGCCAAAGTCAGCCAGTCGTATGTGCCCGTGCTGATCCAGCAGTACGTTATCCGGCTTGATGTCCCGATGCACATACTGCAGCTGGTGGATGGAGTCGATGGCCAGCACCATCTCGGCGATGTAGAAGCGGGCCATGTCCTCGGGCAGACGGTCCTCAAACTTGCTGAGGAGGGTCAGCAGGTCGCCCCCGCTGTAGTAGTCCATGACAAAGTACTGGAACAGAGGAGGGGTGGAACAATAAGAAATGATAATGACAATCTGTGGTACCTGCTGATTCAAGCCAGCCTGGTGACCAGGAAAGCTTGGTAGTCAAATGGTAAGAGTAAGCTGAAGGCTGTTGCTTGGAGTCCCACACGACTGTGAGAAGTTTGTCCCACAAGTTCTCGGATAGTGCTCACAAAATAGTTATAAAAGCAAAACTAAAGGTTGAAACATCTCCTAATGTGACAGAATTGTTTTAAAAGTTGGAAAAGTTTACTTCTTGTGGAGCATGTATCGATTTATCACAATACCCAAAACTGCACTCATCCAATGACATATATTCTTTGTACTGAACAAAATGTGGGTATCGAGACCATGCATAAATGTACATGTGTAGCAATGAAGTTGAAATCTGAAGTCTTGAATGCATCAAACATTGGCATATGAATTTTGAAAATCAATTGAAGTTTAGGCTAAGGCAGCCTATTTTACATTTTTATGAAGGGTTCGTTGCAACATAAAAGTGACTAAAGACTGAAAACATCTGAAAGAATGTTGCACCCTGACGCCACTTTTTTTTTCATCATATATTATCTCAAGGAAGGTCAGTCATTGCAAAAATGTAGAAAAGACATGAATCTGGGACTATGAAACATTTTCATTTTGTTAAAGAAAAATTACTTTGAAAATGCACTTGACTCTCCTTAGACTTTGTATATTACTAAAGAAGAGGCGTCTGGGTGCTTCATTTTTTTTCCAAAACATCTCCCAATGTGAGAGAATTTTTTTTCTTCAAAAGTTGGGAAAAGTTTACTTCTTGTGGAGAATGAATTAATTTATCAGTTCGGTGCAACATTAAAGTGAATAAAACGTGTTCATCTCCAGTAATACATGTACAGCCGAAAAGTTCACAGACTGACAGATTAAAATTCTTCTCATTTCATGCATGCTCTGATTTCTGCTGACCAATTTTACGATGTCATCATTAAGCTCTAACTTGTCAAGTGGCTCATCACTGACCTCCCTTTTTCGTCTTTTTCTTACACTGTCATTGTAATGATTTAGAAGTTATATATTATTTCAAATATATGCAACCATTTATTGGTGCCTACACTGTTGTATGAAATAGAATAAGAAGCACGAGAGATCATCTTATTGATTTGATTGATCTTTAAGGCAACGCACCAAGTAGTCGTCATCTTGGAAGGAGTAGTGTAGATGAGTTATCCATCTGTCGTCACCTTTCACTAGGACATCTCTCTCCTCTATAAAGCAGGCAGTCTGCAATGGTGCCACAAAGTCAAAAGGCATGAACAATTTCAAACATTTTCCCCAAGCAATTCGGCATCATAAACCAAATAATGAAATTATTACAATTCACTTTTTCTTTTTCTTTTAATTGAAAGAATAATGGAATCACTTTTCAGGATAAAGCAGGGGTGAGATTGGGGGAAAATGGAAAAACCGCAAAATAATCAGACGAGGGTTTGAGGGTCGTCGAGGGCCCAGAGCAGCGTAGGGTCTATGGTAGGTATGTTTGTAGAAAGGCTCCCTTTACAATACACTTTTTTGTTTTTGGTTTTCTACACATTTTTTATAGATAGTAACACCTTTACGGTCAAATCTCAGGAAGTCCAAGTTTCACAAGGGTTTCTTTCACCCTAACCCCTTGAGCACTTTTACTAGAAAGTATCCTTAATCCGCCAAAATCCACTTTTGTGTCATGCACACAAATTTTGGTGTTGGTGACTGATCAATATGGAGGTACATGTATCCTGAATCCATCAAAATCCTGCAGTACCGCTAGGCTTACAATCCTGAATCCATCAAAATCCCCCTGTTTTCAATATGGAGCTATCCTGAATCCGCTGAAATACTCCAAAACAGGGATTTTGGATTTTGATGGATTCAGGTACGTTAGGGTTAAAACTCTTTAAATTAGGGAAAATAAAGATCTGCTGTGGATAATGTTATGTTAATTTTGTTGTTTCATTAATTACTATTTGTATATTAACAAAAGTGACAAAATTAATCTTTGTGTCCACCAAAAGAGGCCTGAAATAACTCTTGGGAAAATGAATGTCAGAGGAGTAGAAAGACAACTTACAAACCAATAAATCAAAGATTATTTCACACTATACATGAACATGTGTACGTGTTCTCATCTGCCTGAAGAACATTGTGCAAATGTATGACACTACAGGTAACACACTTCAGAATATGACAAGAACAACTTTACCTCTGCCCTCTTCAGCATTTCCCATTTGTTGAGTAGTTTCATTGCAAATATTTTGTCGGTGTTCTTTAACCTCACCACAGCAACCTGTAAAACAAAACCCCCAATATTTTTAGTTTCATTAATCGTAATCAAACATATTGTAACATCTGACAATGATTAAGCTTGATGCAAGTTGAAAATAATCACACAACCCTTAGGAGGGCAAAACAAATAATAAATGCATGTAAGCAAAGAGAAGGATCTCTCATTCCACTGAAGATGTACATGTCTGTGCACTTCAACAAATCAATTTTTGCTCCTTACGACTTTTTTAACTCGCATGCTTTATTTCAATGAAAAAAAAAATTCCCATTCTGGGCATCTGCGACCCTCTGATAAAAGGTGGGTTTTTTGGTTGCTTTTGTACACAATTTTACATCCATCCCAGTGCAAGTAGACTTGTTCTAGTCCCTACATCATCAATCTAGTCTACCCTGCAATAATATAAATTATTGTCGGGCTGCAAACAATCTCAAATTTGTCATGTAATTATTCCAGAACTAAACGTAGGCTAATGTGTACGTTCAATTTTTCATTCAAAAGTGAATTAACTTTTGTATTGCTAAAAAAATAACAATTAAAAAAAAATCTTATTTTGGGGGTTGAAACTTGAAAGACGCATAGACAGTAAATAGATCTTTAAAGACAGTACATCTTTAAAATCAGTAATGCAAATGGTCGGCAAATCTATTCAGGATTAAAATACCACACGTTTACAAAAATAATAACCAATGCTTTAAATAACAACTTGCACAGGACTTAATTAATTACTCTGAACATGCCAGGCATGTGGTCTAAAAAAAGTGCTGTTACGCATACAGTTTCCAGCAGATATTTTTTCACTGGCATACGCTGCATCTTATAATTGACCTTTTCCAAGAAAATCAAATATCACTGGAGGGGAAAGACGTTCGTTGGAAACGGAGGAAACGCAGATTCTGTACTGACCTCACCAAACGCCCCTCGTCCAATCACCTTGAGTGTTTCAAAGTCATCTCGGCGTAACCGCAACACCTTGATTTTCTGAGCGATGGGTCTCGCTGTATCAAAGATAAGAAGACAAAACAACATTGCTTTTTAAAATGATCCTCAAAAAAAGTTCTTTAACTAAACGAGAATACATGTACATGTGAAGATTGTACATGTACCGCACTGAGTTTAATTGACATTTTTTCATATTTTAATATGTATCGGTACATGTAATTGTATGTATGTACCTGTACATGCATACAAGTTGTACAAGTACAAAATGTACGAGAATGCGCAGGAACAATGATGTTTATTTACATGTAGTACATGAAGTGCATGTAAAATCTGAATGAGCATGCAGATGCTGTAACACAGCACAAAAGGATTTGAGCCCCTCATCTCTCAAGCAATTATTCTTTCATGTCAAAGGTACATGATGTACTTTGAATCAATAAAAAGAAAAAAAGTTGATTTATTTTCAGCTGTGAATCATCACTTTGTTTTATCCATGCACTTTACCGTAAAGTGCACAGATACCACAAAAAGATATTTAGCTTAGAGTTAATTGTTTTCATTTTGCAAAGATATACAGTTTTAATTTGTATGCATGTTTCTGATACAACTTTATGTAAATGAACATGTACCGGTACATGCACATGTAGGTAAAATATAATAATACTGCCGATATATGTAAGGTATGTGTAAATGACTTACATACAGTTACACATTGTAACACCACTGAATTTATGCATGCCAAGCTACTGCAGACCCACTGTTAAGATTTTATTGAATTATTCTGGCTACGGTACATTTCTTCTCACGGTGCCATCAATACAAGACGATTACAGCTGATTAAACATGGCATTCACATGTGCTTTTCCCATTCAAAATTATTAAAATGTCATCAAGGCATTCCACCACAACAAACACTGATTTGCTTTCGCGATCGGGATCGTGTCTCCGTTTCTCTGGATATACGCATATTTTTGTATCTAATCGAAATGCGTTTTGATTAAGCCTTTCGACGTATTGAAAATGACTCATACATTTCTTTTAATATCCAACTAGATAAGATGCACTCTCTCTAAGTATTCTCCCCTTTTAATTAAATGTTCAGGAAGGGGTTGCGTTCTTATTGTACAATGAGCAAAATAGGAAGGCGCAGGCAGGCAGCCTGTTCAAACATCTTTTTTTTTTCGCGAGTCTTGGTCTACATCCAGACGAGTCTAACATTTAGTGCCGGAATGCGAGGACAGATGTTGCTCATAGCTGCGGCTGTTGGAAATTCTACCCTTGAAGTGCATTAGATTGAACCGATTATGAAAATATCACTCTGACGGGCGCACATGTGCATGCTGTAAAGCGCTGGTGAATTGTAGGCCTACATAACATGTACCGGTACATGTAACACTGCAAAACATAGTCTGTGTGTGTAAGTGCAGTAAGGCTCAAACGCCGGCAAATGTAATATCCTGGATGACGTGGGTCATGGTCTGCCAAATGTTTTGATTTCCAAATTTCTAAACTGAGGAAAAAGTCTCATCAGTCAGACATAGTATGCTTACAAGGGCTGACAGGTGCCATACCCTATAAAGGCCCTAGATACATGTACATGTACCATCATTGGAAAAGTCATTTTCACAGTCTACCAAAACATGTTCTGATTTCCAATTGATCTTGGAACCACACGAGGGAATGCCTGTGTTCTTTACAGAGAGCAAGACAATCTTCTCCAACCAGTGAACGACTGCGACCCCCCCCCCCCCCTCCTCCCTTAACATTAGCCTTGAATTGTGCTGTTTGAGGTAAACTTAGCCCTAGTCCAGAGACAGGAACATTTTAGGGTCACTCACAAGTGTAAATTGATCTTGTCCCCCAAAATATTGTGTTTCTGGTAACATTGAAACTAAAGTACCGGTAAGAGTTGGCAGGATTATATTGTGTATGTGTACACAGTACATTTAATTTAACACGTACAGATGTACATGCGTTTGTTAATGGTGTAAATAGAGGACACACTCGAGGACAGAAACCAAATCGAGGACTCCTCGGTTGGAAAATGTGTGCAAAACCAATGAGAGCTGTTGCAAAAAAGTTGGAGTATGAAAAAGGAAAAGGGAAGAGGAACAAAAGAAAATCCTTGATTTACACCATAAACAAACGTGCGTGTTCATGTTTGTGTAAGAAATTTAATTACCGGTACATAACAAAAAGTACTCAGACTTAAGTTGTATGATCGTTGTTAACTGGGTGTGGGGAAGAAGGTATGTTTACATGAAACTACAAAGTATGTTCTGTACCTTCAACCTCGGTACACAGCACAAATCTCTAGCTCTCTTCCAGCAATAGCACTGAATAAATATTGAGCTGACCATCCTTCATCCCAAATGTTGGTAAACACTGCATTATATTTTTCACTACGCAGAAAAGTAAACATTATCTGTGGATCCCAAAATGTTCATTTTTTTTGTTTGTACATGACACTGCAATAATGAATACATTCACTCTGCTTGTTATAGCATCTTACAGATTTTCCAAAGAAATTAACACACAGCAACAAAACAGCGCACATCAATTTCTATTAGTACTGGTATTTGGCAATTTTTCTTGGAGTAGATTTCCAAACAATGCCATCCAAACTGTGTTTCATTATATGCAGTTCCATGCACTACATGTATGTGATAAATATAGCCAAGTACGGTACATCTGTTGGTTACAAAATACCCTCGCTAAACAACCATGAAATGCCAGTCGATAAACAACCCGGTACTTGCCAACACAGAATCCGACTTGAGGTTTTTTTTATTAATCAAGGCACAGTTAACGGGTACAAACTCTACTTGTATTTAACCACTGCTTGGCAACCGTGGAAGTGAACACAGTAAGCGACAGGTTAGAAGCACTCTGACATGGGATACTTCCTCGCTGGCTGCAACTTCTGATTTGATTCATGGGTGGTCAAAACTTCCGTCAATACGCATGTAATACTTGTGATCCAGGACTACAGCATACATGTATCATGCATGTACAGTACATGTACATGTGCATTGTACATGTACATGTATAACGCATGCATAAGGTATCATACCCGGTACATGTACCGGTACATAGACCATAGCTAAACGAAAACTTCACTATTCTAAAATCTGTTGTGATCCCAAACCTGGCTTGTGCATGCATTTTTGATGAATTTGGAACTGTACAACCATAGAGAAAGGATGGTTGAAGCAAACACAATATGCCACGAAATTACATGTACACTCCACAGAGTTGGACTTGTATGGGAATATTCAGTTAAGATGCAAAATCATCCAGAGTTACGTCTTACATGTACATGTGACACTGTCAAGACTTGACCATTTGAAATTGCATAAAATAGAAAAAAAGTTAATAACTATCGGTACATGTAGCTACCGGTACCATGTACCGTACACGACATTTGTGTACAAACATGTATGCAACATACATGTGGACATGTAAATTATACACGTACATGTATGTAATGTACCATACCGGTATGTGTTTACAGCATAATGTGTACAACAAGCATGTTTGTGTGTACTCAAAGGAACAGCCTGACACTGACTACCCCCACCCTTGATCATATAGATACATATTACTATTGTACCAGTGTAAAACATTTCCGTGAAAAAAATGTAGGCGTGCGACATGTACACTGAATTTTGTGTACATGTACACACAATACTGTCATTTTTCAAAACAAGTTGTATGACTGTAATATCATATGTACTTGAATTATTGTCAATGTGGCCTATTTATTGTCATCCATTGTAGATGCACTTTTCAAGAAAAGTTTAATGTTTGTATCAATTTCCAAGGACCGTCGTTGGAAAAGAACTGAATTTTTTGTCTAACACTGCCAACTTTGCCAAATTTAGTTAGTCCCATTTTCTTGCAATCGCTTACACATCCATGAACGGGTTAAGCCAGCTAGTCTGGTTCCCTGACCTGACAACTCCTTGATGCCTATAAATTGCTACGTTTCATCTGAAGTAGGGTCAGGGAACCAGACTACAAGAACAGCATTTTTTTTCTTAGTTTTTCCAGCATCTATGAACACAAAATTTTAAACGCATCAGTGTAACAATACTGGTATTACATGTAGCTACAAAGCACTAACCCCTAAATCCATCCATTTCTGAAAATTACAGCAAAAGTAAATGTTGTACAACAAGTTTTATTACATGTACCTTTTCTATATTGCTCCGGACATAAACTTCATATGTTGTAAAATGAGCGAAGTGTGGTATTAACGGTTTAAAAAAATCCAAAGTTAATTGCTTGTTTTCAGTGCACAATCTAAGCAATAAGTTAATCCCAAATTACAAGTATCAATCTTAAGGGAATATGCAAATGATACATGCATACCGTACATGTATACATACATGTACATTGTATGCTGTACAGTGTGTGTTGTACCTAAACTGCAAGAGGTTCGGTAGGCCTACCCCTGGGACATTATGCAGTCAGCAAATTCACATTTCCAACACAAAAGTCACAAGTGACCGAATGATGGAGATATTTACATCTACATGTACCGGTACGTGTATGTATAAGAATACTCATACAGAGCTGTGCTCAAGTGTGCAATGGAAAAACTCAAGTAGCTGTTCATAATGTGAATTATGCATATGTACCGGTACATGTATGCGTACGGTAGCTCAACTAAATTGGGGCAGTATATATCAGAAATCAGCCAAACCGAATAACAAATGACGATCATCTACATGTACATGTACAATATCTCATCCTAATCACATGCAGACATACTGAGTCAGACCCTATACATTGGAGGGGGACGGGAGGGGAATCCTGTAATCTTGTTGGAGACAGAACGAAGATGAGCACCGATTAGCAGATGGATGGATTGGAGAATTGCAGGAGGCAGGCATTAAACCAAATAAAACAATAACTCAGCAGGTTACCAAACCTGGCGGGGGACCAGCCAACGTGATAAATGTTGTCAATGACAGATCAACAGAAATGTCTAGTACGTGTCGGCCTGCTAGTGTACACAGCCCACCACTTGAAAATTATTGGAGGGGTTAAA